CACACTGCCACGTGTGTACCTATGCAACAATCTTGCATGTTCTTCACATGTAACCCAAAACTTAAAATGCAATTTAAAAAAACTAAGAGAATGTATCACCCACTAATAAGGGGGGTGGGCACTGCTGTATTGTACTTTGCTTATCTTACAAGTTTGTGGTGTGGATCAAATGAGAACATATTAAAATGTTTTATAAACTGTAAGGTGCCATATATATCTACATATATCTATATCTATATATCTATATATATATGTATATATCTCTTAAATTATTTTAATTTATTTTTTATTTATTTATTTATTTTTTTTGAGACGGAGTTTCTCTCTTGTTACCCAGGCTGGAGTGCAATGGCGTGATCTCGGCTCACCGCAACCTCCGCCTCCTGGGTTCAAGCAATTCTCCTGCCTCAGCCTCCTGAGTAGCTGGGATTACAGGCAAGCGCCACCATGCCCAGCTAATTTTTTGTATTTTTTTTAGTAGAGACGGGGTTTTACCATGTTGACCGGGATGGTCTCGATCTCTCGACCTCGTGATCCACCCGCCTCGGCCTCCCAAAGTGCTGGGATTACAGGCTTGAGCCACCGCACCCGGCCCTTTAATTTATTTTTTAATTTTTTTGAGATGATGTCTTGCTGTGTCACCCAGGCTGAAGTGCAGTGGTGAGATCTTGGCTCAATGCAACCTCCACTTCCCAGGTTCAAGCAATTCTCCTGCCTCAGCCTCCCAAGTAGCTGGGACTACAGGTGCATGCCACCACGCCCAGCTAATTTTTGTATTTTTAGTAGAGACGGGGTTTCACCATATTGGCCAGGCTGGTCTCAAACTCCTGACCTTGTGATCTGCCCGCCTTGGCCTCCCAAAGTGCTGGGATTACAGGCGTGATTATTGTGATTATTCTACAAAGTCCCTGAATCATATTGTACTGGAATTAATACTGATATAGAAATTATAGTCTTTTAATTATATAAAAAAATTTTTGTATACAAATTACAATCTTTTAATTACAAAAAGACTGAAAAGACACGAACATGATTCATTTTCTCTGTAAGGATTATAATAGCACCTACTTCAAGGGGATATTGTGAGAATTAGTAAAAAAAATACAGACTTACTGCTAAAAACAGTATCTGGTATACAGTAAATACATAAATGTTGGTTCACTAAGTGCCTAGCCTGTTATTTAAACACATTTACTGAGGTTTATTTTTCTCTGTTAACAATGTATTTCATTTCTGAAGTTTTATCTGGTTCTTACTTCTTTCACAAATCTGCCTTTATTTAAAAAAAAAAAACAACTGTTCTTACCTCATGTTTTAAATTTCTTTTGTCTTTTATCTTTCTAAACATACTTACAATCTTTTTCTCAATGCCGCTGCTGTATAAAAGGTGCCAGTCTAACCTTGCTCGTTGTTACATTTGATTCTCACAGGGATTCTTTGCTTTTTTCTAATTGAATGATTTATTAGCTGCTAGTCTAGGGCTATCCAATCTTTTGGATTCTCTGGGTCACATTGGAAAAAGAATTGTCTTGGGACACACATAAAATATACTAACACTAAAGATATGTGATGAGCTAAAAAAGAAAATCACACACACACACAAATCTCATAATGTTTTAAGAAAGTTTACAAATTTGTGTCGGGTAACATTCAAAGCCATCCTGAGCCACATGTGGGCTGCAGGTTGGACAAGCTTGTGCTGTAACTTCACACATACACTAGCAAAAGAAATCTTAGTCCCCATAGTTAACGTTTTAAATAATAGATTATTGGCTGGGTGCAGTGGCTCACACCTGTAATCCTAGCAGTTTGGGAGGCCAACGTGGATGGCTCAACTGAGGTAAGGAGTTTGAGATCGGCCTGGCCAACATGGCGAAACCTGATATCTACTAAAAATACAAAAGTTAGCTGGGTGAGGTGGCACATGCCTGTAATCCAACCTACTCGGGAGGCTGAGGCAGGAGAATTGCTCAAAACTGGGCGGAGGAGGCTACAGTGAGCCGAGATTACACCACTGCACTCCAGCCTGGGTGACAGAGCAGGACTCCATCTCAAAAAAAGGAAAAAATAAATCATAGATTATTAACTAGAGATAGTGAGTTTCAGACCAATTGGAAGCAGAGGAACAATGGTGCCATCTTGACATTCTAGATCTTTATTTTATACTACATTTATTTGCAATTTGGCCCAATTTATGGCTGGAAACGGCAGTGGTTTTATTTTTCTGGGTTACCCCCACTACTCTGGGCTTATGTAATAAAAGTATAACTCTGGGCCGATTCCTCCTTCTCTGAGTCTTGGTTTCCTTCTCTGTAGAAAGGGAATGGTAACAGGGATGGGTGAAGTTTCGTTCACTGTGCATCACGGTGCACAAGCACTTTATGTCAACTTTTATTAGCCTTTGCTTTGTACTAATCTTTTCTCACATATATATTCCCTATCAGTGTAGCCTGATGTTACAGCCATCATTAACAACATAGTCGCTGTTAACTCCTCGTCCTTCCCATTACGTCCCCTATCCCATATCTGGTTCATCCATCCTTATTTTTCCTGGCGGCCTCCTGGTCCCCTACATTCACTATACTCATCTTTCCCCCTACATGGAGTTTTCCCAGTCTCAACAACCCCTGTTCCTTTTGGTAACCATTTTCCATCTTTTCAGAGCTCAAAGTTCCATGTCTTTCAAGAAGGCTTGGACCAGGTTTAAGCCACACATGTCTTTTCTGAATTCAGAGGCCTCCATGGGGAGTGCCATGTGCACTGTGGCTTCCTTAGGAGTTGGTGGCTTTGTTCAAGGTGTGGCTGTGAGTGCCATCCTAACTAGACTGGACATTTTCCTACAGAAAAACAACATGGCACATACCCAGTGTATGTATGCAATTCTGCCAATTTCAAGTAGGTGTTTCTCACATAGTTTTGATTTTTGGCTTCTTAGCACATACTTGCTGGGAATTTGGTGGCTTGTTTCTGGTTGTGTCCGTGTCCCTCTAGACAGGATTTCTTTATTTCCTTGATGAACCATCTGGGACCATTTGTTGATGTTTCAGTCTGCCTTACTCTGGCAGTGTGAGTTCCAACACCGCACCCCTCCACCACACCCACACCGACGTGTGAGGAGCCTGTGGTTATGAATCCATGCTGCTTTGAAGTAGGATCTACTGGAAGAATAGAAACTTGCAGGAAAGAAAAGGGGTGGGGGGGGTGAAGTGAGCTCCTAGACTCCAAGGGTTACCTTTGTCGTTACATTGTCTTAAGCCAGGAGCATAAGCTGAGATGTGTGACTCAGTCGCTGCCTTTTCCAGTCTATAGGAAAAAGTATGGGAATGCATGCTGTTCCCATTGTATAGAAACGGACACTGAAACCCAGAAGAACACAGAACTCGGGGTGGAGGGGGTAGGTCCTCTGGGTTCTCAGTGGCGTCAGAAAGACATAAGACGATGAACCTCCCTGAGAGGAAGGCGGGCAGCCTCCACACATATGTTATTACCCCATGTCCCCAAACTCATCTGGGTCTCACATCTTCCCCAACTGTCTGGGCCTTATCCCAACTCTTTGCAGAGGAAAAAGGCCATTTTCATGTGTGCGGCATTTTAGAGTTAGAGGTTTACACACGGTTCCTTATTTTTCAGCAGCACCGTGAGATAAGCGAAATGTGTATTCTTACTCCAATTTTTACAGACGTGGAGCCTGAGAAACTGGGCTCAGGCTGGCGAAGGTGGCTACAGGGCACCACGTGTCAATGGTGCATCCGGGATTCTGACTCAGCCTCTTTGCCATCCCGGACTTCAGGATCAGAGAGAGGTTTAAAATGCAGATGCTGGCCGGGCGCGGTGGCTCAAGCCTGTAATCCCAGCACTTTGGGAGGCCGAGGCGGGTGGATCACGAGGTCGAGAGATCGAGACCATCCTGGTCAACATGGTGAAACCCTGTCTCTACTAAAGATACAAAAAAAAACTAGCTGGGCGTGGTGGCGCGTGCCTGTAATCCCAGCTACTCAGGAGGCTGAGGCAGGAGAATTGCCTGAGCCCAGGAGGCGGAGGTTGCGGTGAGCCGAGATCGCGCCATTGCACTCCAGCCTGGGTAACAAGAGTGAAACTCCGTCTCAAAAAAAAAAAAAAAAAAAAAAATTGCAGATGCTGTCCACCTCCCTGGATTCTTTTTTTTAGGTGAAATTCACATGATACACAATTAATCATTTTAAATGGAACAATTCATGGCCTTTAGTGCATTCACAATGTTGCACAACCACTACTTCTATTTTCAAAGCTTTTCATGACCCCCTCCCCGGGCCTTTGTGCAGAATAAAAGAGACCATCTGTGGAAGGCCTCCAGCGTGGGGCCTTGCCCTTAGCAGGGCTCAGGGAACGCAGCCTATATTTTCAGAGTCTCTCTAGCTTTCTCTCAGAAACCTGGTCATTCAGAAATAGGAATTCTTTCCTAAATTTAGTACCTTGAGAAAATCAGGTTGAGGATATAGGAGGTATATATGTCCCAATCACTTTTTTCCTGTCTTTTCCCAAAACGACATGTGACGATTGTTCTCTTCCAAGAAACTTTCCCCAAGGAACCCTTCTATTCTTTAAAACAATCAGATACAGTCACCTACTGATGCCCTAGTAGTTACACCTTGTCATATGGCTCCTTGGTTATTGAAGGAATCTGACTTCTCGGCCAGGTGGCGACAGGCACAGCCTAGGAGGCACCGCGGTGCTCTGGACTGTCCTGGGTACTAAAGAGTTGCTTCATAGGTTATGTGTTGGATTGGACTGAATGGTGGTGGCCGGCCAGCTCCAAAATTCTAGCCATGACTTGATGACCAGTGTTTTTCCTGCCTTTGAAATAGCAGGTTTGGTGACTGGAGGATATGCTTGTGGTGCAGGCAGGCAGTCTGGGCTCTGGGCGGCCGTGCTGGGGGCAGGCCACAGAAGGCAGCAGCTCCCACACCTGGGCCGCACGACAGGTGGAAGGTGAGTGCTTCACGCAGGCAAACCCAAGAATACAACAGCTTTGGACTTTATTTAAACGTATCCATTCCAAGAGCATTGTCCTGGAAGAAGCCCAGGCCCTGAGAAGTCGTGACGGTCCCCTGGGCTTCCTATGGCACCAGGTGTTGAAGCATGTCCTGGTGGCCGGGAGTGGCTGGGGCGGAGGGCGGTGAGTGAGGAGAGTAGCCAGGGAGTTTAAGGTGAGGACCCCCTGCCCCCAGCCTAGAGGGCCACAGTGCGCAGGCGCATGGGAGGATCTTCCCTCCGGCCACCTCTCCTGCACCTCCAGACCACTGCCCCGATGACACCGATCACAAGGCCGACTCCTGCTGCCACTGGCACGGCCCAGTAGAGCACCTCAGGGGCTTCTTCAGCCTGGTCTGGGAGCAGCCGGCTATTCTGCAGCGTGTAGAGGTAAGGGCTCTCCTGCGGAGGAGATGGGGGTCAGTGGGAAGGAACCTCCGAGAACCACCCATTGCCAAGACTCGCCTAGTCTCCATCCCTGAGATGCTGTGGTGACCCTGCACGTTTTCACAGCGCATCCCTTTTGCAAAGCTCCCTCATTTACGCTGTGCTCTGTAGCAGGATGGGCCTCTAAAGAGGTCAACGCCCGCCGGGCGCGGTGGCTCAAGCCTGTAATCCCAGCACTTTGGGAGGCCGAGGCGGGTGGATCACGAGGTCGATAGATCGAGACCATCCTGGTCAACACGGTGAAACCCCGTCTCTACTAAAGATACAAAAAATTAGCTGGGCATGGTGGCGCGTGCCTGTAATCCCAGCTACGCAGGAGGCTGAGACAGGAGAATTGCCTGAACCCAGGAGGCGGAGGTTGCGGTGAGCCGAGATCGCGCCATTGCACTCCAGCCTGGGTAACAAGAGCGAAACTCCATCTCAAAAAAAAAAAAAAAAAAAGAGGTCAACGCCCAGCTAGAGCCTTCTTTTGGTTTCTCACCAGCATTTCCTTCGCTGTCAAACCTGATTTTGAAAGATTGGGAACTGATAGGTGATCAGTGGCAGAGGGACCCAGGGAGCCTGTAGAACTCCCACCTCTGTTTCCTCTTGGTCACAACTGTTCCCATTCTCCCATCCCAGGAACACCCAGAAACTGGGGAAGGTCAGCATGGAAAGACACCTGGTTGTGTAGCAGACAAAAGATTCCCAAATGAGAAGGGCTGGGAGGGGAGACATTTGGGCGGCCCGCATGCGTTCCTGCCTTCCTCCCCGCTAGCTCGCCATGATCCTTTCTTTCAGTGAACGTGAACTGATTGCCTGCTGTGTTGAGCCCCCATGCTGGGGGCTGTGATGAGACCTGAGGGTTAAGATATTATATCTTTTCTTGGGGCTCAGGAGGAAGGTGAGACATGCAGAAACAATCACATCATAAATGAGACTGGGTCAGTGTCCTGTGAGAGGTACAAACAGAAAAGGAGACCCACACGGGTGAGTGCCAGGAGATAGGAACGGGAGGTAAGAAGGTGAAACCGTAGCTTAGCAAAGGCAACCTCTGGGCCTGGAGGGAGGCGGATGTTCTCACAGGCAGATGAGGATGAACCTCCAGGAGCACATGGTGAAGGAAAGGCCTGGACACGGGCAGTTGTGGGCTTCCTGGGAGGTGGATCCACCGGCCAGGAGTGCAGCGCGTGCATAATGGAGGGTGGTGACCCTCCCCTCCAGACGCTGGTCAATGGGCAGTAGGGACCAGGCAAAGATTTCAAGCTGCCTTGATGGGACAAGTTATTTTTAGGAAGTTCTATCTGTGTTAGGCAGCAAGTGTAGGGTGGATGGAGAAGAGGGAGAGGAGAGCTGGGGAGACAAGTCACAGGCTTTGTAGGTGGGCCAGGAGAGGGCGGTGGGTGCGGCGAGGGAGGAGGACTATTGCAGGCTCCGGAAACAGACACTGAGTCTTTTTTAGTTTGCCTCTGGATCCCCAGATCCCAGTATACTGCCTGGCATGGGAGAGCTGCTTGATGCACATTCATTCATTCATTCATTCATGAGACAGAGTCTCGATCTGTCACTTAGTCTGGAGTGCAATGGCATAATCCTGGCTCACTGCAACCTCCACCTCCTGGGTTCAAGTGATTCTCCTGTCTCGGCCTCCCAGGTAGTTGGGACTATAGATGTGTGACACCATGCCTGGCTAATTTTTTGGATTTTTAGTAGAGATGGGGTTTCACCATGTTGGCCAGGCTAGTCTCGTACTCCAGATCTCAGATGATCCACCCACCTCAGCCTCCCAAAGTGCTGGGATTACAGGCATGAGCCACTAGGCCCGGCCTTGTTGTACTTTTAAGATAGGATACATCAGAGCTGTCGGAAGTAAAGGGTGACCCGAGACATCCGCCAGTGCTCATCTGCCTCCCTGAGTGACTGTCCTCACTTGGGCTGGAGCTGTTAATGTCCTCTCTCCACGCCCCATGGCTGCCCACACGCTGAGAATTTTCTGTGGCAGTGAGGACAGGTGGGATTTGCAAAGATGGCAGTGAGTGAAGCCACATTTGAGGGAGCCTCCCCAGGAACGCCTCTGTGCTTCCAGGGGACAGGGCAGCCCCACCCCAGGCATCTGTTCCACCTGGGGCAGGCGGGAGATTTACTCACAGGAGAGGGGCACTTGAGTTTGGTTCGGCTGTGGGTGAAGTTGTTGGAGGTCGTCTTGAGGCCCACTGGCTCCAGCTGGAGAGAGAGAAAGGACACCTTGATTCTCTCCAAAGCTGGGAAAGACTTTCCTCTCCGAGGGCGTATCTCACAGCAGAGCCCCTCCCTCGGGAAGTGGTGGGTAGAAACCAGCAAAGTGGCTGGTGTTTGGCCCACAGCAGGGACCCAGCAGCCTGGGGCTGAGCAGGAGCTGACTTGTGATGCACAGAGGGACTAGGCTGAGTCTGTCGGGCAGGACCCTGAGTCTGTGCCCCTGGATTTGCCGGGCACACTAAGGCCCAGGAGAGACCACTGGTCCTGAGTCCACAGCCCGTCTGTGGAAGGGCTGGGACCATCTCTGGTTTCCCTTGCAGGTGGCTGTGATTGCAAGACACCATGTTTTCAATTTTATAAAACGATGGCAGTCCTATTTTCCAACTTCTCAAAGTGCGTGGGGCCAGTCAACTTCAGCAAACGCTGACACCATGACTACCCTTGGCTTGTCAACCTTAGGAAATTAGAGTTTCCCACTGGAGCCACTTTGCATGTTTTCCACATAGATGAAAAGATTTGCTTCAGCTATCTCTGGGTGTAAGTACCTTTGGTCCCAGGACCTCTGAGGATGAGCTGCAAGCTGACGCATGCCCCCACCAGCATCTTTTAGCCAGTAGCCAGGCCCGACATGTGGCCAGCACTGAGAGGAATGGGCCCCTGGCACTGTCACCTAATCAGAGTCTGTCTGGAATGTCTAGCCTCCACTCATTGTGTAATTTGCTTCCCTGCCTGCTCCTGACCACAGGGTATTGCCAGGGAGGGAGGTGAAAGTTCACTATCTGAGCTAATGACCATACCTGGCCCCTGGTCTTACTTTCTGTTGTCCGAATGCCTTTTACACCTGTTCCTTAGTAACACAATTGCAGGAGGGAGGGCAGTGCTGGTCCTGGGAGAGATGCCAGGGTGACTAGACTGGGCGTGACGGGCAGATGGCTGGTCCTGGCTCTGCTGGTAATGAGCTGTGCAGTGCTGGGCAGGCTATTTCCCTGAGGCTAGGTCCAGGAATGACATCCTGTCCTAACATCTGACAAATGAGAAGATGGACTGAAAGCATATGTGAGTGGGGTGGCGTCCGTACATCAGGTAGTATTATTTCCACTTGCTTAAGAGCAGAAGATGATCATGATGGCAAGGGTTTGATGAGTGTTTCCATTTCTCCTTTCTACTGGTTCCTTCCCATCAGTACACAACCTGCTCCGACATCTCCCCTCCTTTGCCTGCCCTCTCTAGATCCCACATTCCCTCCACTGACCTTGGCTGTTACTTCTCATAACTTCCTGAAAGAGCTGTCGATAGGTGCCGGCAGCACTTCCTGATCTCTCATTCTCTCTGCTGCTCACTCCAGGCAGTCTGCAGTCTCCATCGCTGCATGGACGCTCTGGCCAAGGCCACCAAAGATCTCCATATGGGCAGAGCCAAAAGTCTTTTTTTTTTTTTTTTTGAGATGGAGTCTTGCTCTGTCACCTAGGCTGGAGTGCAATGGTGTGATGGCTTATTGCAACCTCCACCTCCCGGGCTCAAGTGATTCTCCTGTCTCAACCTCTTAAGCAGCTGAGATTACAAGCGCCCGCCACTACGCTGGCTAATTTTTGTATTTTTCATAGAAATGGGGTTTCCCCATGTTGGCCAGGCTGGTCTCAAACTCCTGACCTCGTGATCCGCCTGCCTCGGCCTCCCATGGTGCTGGGACTACACCTGAGCCACCGCGCCTGGCTCAAAGGTGATTTTTGTTTGTTTGTTTTCATCTTGCTTGGCTTCTCAGGAGCATTCATCAAAGTTGACAGCTGTCTCTTGAAACACTGACTTCTCTTGGCTCTCTGGACACAGCATTGTTTCTTATTTCCCTTCAACCTTCACACTCTCTTCTTCTCACCTCTTACTGGAGTCAAAAGCTGGAATGAATGCCCAGGGCTGGCTAATTAGCCTTTACACTCTTTTTTTTTTTTTTTTTTTAATAGAGACAGGGTTTCACTATGTTGGTCAGGCTGGTCTTGAACTCCTGACTTCAGGTGATCTGCCCACCTCGGCCTCCCAAGGTGCTGGGATTACAGGTGTGAGCCACCGTGCCCAGCCTGACACTCTTTTCTAACTAATCTTTCTCTAGTTGCTCTCAGTTGATCCTGTAGTTCGTTTGTTTGTTTGTTTTGAGATGGAGTCTTGCTCTGTTACCCAGGCCGGAATGCAATGGTGCGATTTTGGCTTACTGCAACCTCTGCCTCTGGGTTTAAGCAATTATCCTGCCTCAGCCTCCCTGAGTAGCTGGGATTACAGATGCCCACTGTCACGCTGGCTAGTTTTTGTATTTTTAGTAGAGACAGGATTTCCCCGTTTTGGCCCGCTATGCGGGCACCCAATCTCCAGCCTTGACTTCCTCTCTGAGCTCCAGACTTCTGTATCCTGATAACCTTGTGTGGATGTCTGGAAGGCAGGTCACACCATGTCCAAAATAGAAGTCTTGATTTTTTCCTCCCAAGCTGATTTTTCTCTACCTGCTCAACCATCCACCCAGTTTCTTAGACCCCAAACCAAAGTCATCCTTAGTTCCTCTTCCCCACATCCATCCGCCGGCCCATGACACATCCTAAATCTGACCGCTTCTCTCCTCCTCTGCCGTGACTTGAGTCTCAGCCTCCGTAGTCTCCCACCTGTCACCAGCAGCCTCCTAGAGGTCTCTCCCAGTTCACCGTTGCTTTCTTCCAGTCCAGGGGTGCATGGAGCCAGGGGTAAGCCAGAGCATACCACTCTCTTCTTAGAACTTTGCCCAGCTCTTTGACTTTGTTCACTTCCCTCTGGTCACACTGGCCTTTAAGTTCCTCAGACACTTTAAGCTCCTTCCTGACTCTGGGCCCACGTGGGTCCTATTTCCTCTGCCCGGCAACCTCTTGACATGCAAATCTCCAGTCACTGTCACTTCTTCAGGGAGGCCTCCCTCTCCTCCTCAGCCATTACCCCATGTCACATCACCCTGCCTGACTTTTTCTCAAGCCACAGATGTGCTCAGAATGACCTTGTTGATTATCTGTCTTTTCCCTACTACCCTGAATGCTCCAGGAGAGGAGTCCTCTTTCTCTTTTTCACTGCTGAGTCCTCAGCACCGGGAGCAGCACCTAGCACATAGCAGTGCTCAGTAAATACTCGGGTGGACGGATGGATGAATTAATTGAAGTCACAAAGACCTGAGTGGAGAAGCTTGGTGGGGGAAGGCTTGGAGCTGGTCACAGGGAATGAAACTGTTTTTCCTAGAGCCAACCTTTCCTAAGCCAGGCACTGTGGCTACCAACCATGTAGCAAATGATAGGACTGGGCCGGGGCTACTGGACCTGGGTTGGCCACTGGCCTGTTCCGGAGATTCAGAGGCGGCTTCCTGTAGGAGGTGGCACCTGAGTTGAGTGGTGGGGTGGGCAAGGCGGTGAGAGAGAAGGGCAGTCCAGGAGAAGGAGGTGAGCAAGAGTGAGCAGAGGTGTGGAACGCCACGGGTGGTGCAGGACACTGCCGGGATTACTGGACTGTGACATGCGAGGCAGAGGCTGGTGGGAGCGGTAGCCAGAGAGGTTAGTCAGGGGAGCCAGGCCGACCCCCAGAGGTCTAGAGTGCTACGCTCTGGGACCTGGCCTGCCTCCTTCAGAGGTGGGGAGCTCTGAAAGTTTGAAAGCCGGGGAGGAACTTGGTCAGGTTTTCTTTTACACAGATTACTTGATTCCTCTTGTGGGGACCAGATCTAAGGCAATGGTTCGTATCTGCACATTAAAATAATCTCAGGAGCTTTCACAAAGTACTGAATCCAGCTCCCACTCCAGATGAATTAAGTCAGAATCTCTGGGGACAAGCCCAGTCAGCACTGGTATTGTTTTCAAGTAAACTTTTTTTTTTTTTTTTTTTTTTTTTTAAATTTGAGACAGAGTCTTCACTCTTGTCACCCAGGCTGGAGTACAAGTGAGGCGATTTCGGCTCACTGCAACCTCTGCTTCCCAGGTTCAGGCGATTCTCCTGCCTCAGCCTCCCAAGTAGCTGGAATGACAGGCATGCACCACCATGCCCAGCTAATTTTGTATTTTTAGTAGAGATGGGGTTTCACCATGTCGGTCAGGCCTGGTCTTGAACTCCTGACCTCAGGTGATCCACCTGCCTTGGCCTCCCAAAGTGCTGGGATTACAGGCATGAGCCACAGCACCTGGCCTCAAGGAAACTTTTAATTGAAGCTAACATACATCTAGAAACTAGTACAAATCGTAAGAGAGCAACAGATAAGTTTTGATAAAATGAACATACCAGCATCCAATCAGGCAATAGACTATTATGAGTACTGAGAAGCCCCTTTTCACCTTCTTCCAGGACGATTCATCTCCCAGTGAGATGCTGTCATGCTGACCCTTAACCCCATATGCCAAGCTGCTGGCTTTCGAACTTTATAGATATTATGGTATGCTGTTGAAGTTTGTTCAACTGTCACTTCTTCAGTGAGGCTGCCCTCTTCCCAGCCATTACTCTGCGTCACTTCACCCTGCTTGATATATATTTTTTAAGCCACAGGTGCAGTCAGACCTGTATGGTATTCCTTAGAATGAATGTGCCACAGTTTATTCATCCATCCTACTCTCAGTGGATATTTGCGGAGTTTCTCGTTTGGGGCTATTTATAAATAGTGCTGCTATGAATATTCTTACGTGTATCTTTTGGTGGACACATATATACCTTTCTTTTGGGGATATACCTAGAAGTGAAATTGTTGGATCACAGGAAATACGTGTGTTCAGTATTATTAAATATACCAGAGTTTTCCAGAGTGGCTGTAGGCACTAACTAACTCCTTTTAAAAGTCCCTGGATGGCCAGGTGCGGTGGCTCACACCTGTAATCCCAGCACTTTGGGAGGCTGAGGAGGGTGGATCACCTGAGGTCAGGAGTTCAAGCCCAGCCTGGCCAACATGACAAAACCCCGTCTCTAATAAAAATACAAAAATTAGCTGGGCGTGCTGGTGGGCAACTGTAATCCCAACTACTTGGGAGGCTGAGGCAAGAGAATTGCTTGAATCTAGGAGACAGAGGTTGCAGTGGGCCAAGATCGCGCCACGGCACTCCAGCCTGGGTAACAGAGTGAGACTCTGCTGCAAAAATAAATAAATACAAATCCCTGGATGATGGTAATATGCAGTTAGGCTGAGAACTGCTATTCTAAGGGCTGTAAGTGTGGAGACAGGGATGTCAGTTAGGAGGCTGGAGCTGTCACCCAGCACCTGGGAAGACACAAACGCTGGCTGAGAGTAGGATTTCCTCAGGAGAGGGAGCAGGCAGCAGTAGAGGACTAAGAGAAACTCTTGATAAGAAGGCGAAAGAAGGCAGAGGAAGAGGAAAACAGTGCTGCTGGTGTTTCTGGTTCTGCCTTTGCAAAGGTCTCTGGAGAAGGATGTGACAGGAGATGAAATAGTTTAAAGTGCTTTTTGTTTCCCTAGTAGGGAACCCTGGGAACATCAGCCAAAGCCTGCAGACACTATGTCATAGGACTCTAATTGTGAGACATGAATTCACCACGTATATATGTGCTTATCACGTTGGGAGCAGCAGGGAGGGTGGTGGTGTGGCCAGGTCACCAGGAAAGGACTCTAATGCCCTAGTGCCACCAACAGTCTGTGTTATGTTGGGTGAACTGCTTCATGTCTCTATACTTTAGTTACAGAATGTTCTGGCTAGATGACCTCTCAGTCTGTTCCAGCTCTAATGGTCTATGATTTATTTTATGTTACTCTAGGGGTCAAATGCCAGTCAGAAGTAGATCTGAAAAGTTGGCGTGATGCTATAGCTTTGTCTCTAAGATTGGCCTTGGATAAAAACACTGGACTGTGTAATTATTTCCCCAAATTATATAGGCTAGGATAAGAAACCCTTGGATGGCTTTAGTTTTGCTATGTTTTTGTAGTTTTGAAGGTTGGGGTATGGCTGAGATCATGTGGCTGGGGAACTGCAGACAGTCTTGTTTCGTTTCCACAATAGCTCCAGGGCAGTGTTTACCTTCTGTTTTCATATCTAAACTCCTCCCACGTATCTTTATCAAATAAAGGCCTCTTACCTGGGTGAATGGGAAGAGCTATGGAACTGCTTTGGAAGAGAAGGCCAGAGCTATGTAGATTTTTTTGCTTTTTGCTTTTTGAGATAGGGTCTCCCTCTGTTGCCCAGGCTGGAGTGCAGTGGCAACATCTCGGCTCACTGCTGCCTCGACCTCTCATGCTCAAGTGATCTTCTCACCTCAGCCCTCTGAAAAGCTGGGACTACAGGCATGCACCACCACACCTGGCTAATTTTTTGATTTTTTTTTGTAGACAGAGTCTCCCCTGTGTTGCCCAGGCTGGCGTCTAATTTCTGGGCTCAAGTGATCCACCTGCCTTGGCCTCCTAAAGTGCTGGGATTACAGGCATGAGCCACCATGCCTGGCCAGAGCTACATTGTTAATTCACACAAAAACCAATGGATTCTTTTTCATGTTCCAGCCATCACTACGACTGTCCAGACCCAGGAGATTCCTGGAGGGTCCCAGCTTTACATAGACCTGGAGTGCCACCCAGGTAGGAAGGCCATACTCTGATGAAAAACCTGGGGAGGAAGGGCCAAGGGCTTAGCTCTCTTTAGCTCTTTTTGGAATCTGTGGATTCCCTTGAGGTCTCAAGGGAAAAGGAACAGGGAATAGGTACCTTTCCTTTGGGAGAATTTTTCCAAAGGAGTAAAGTCACATGATCCAGCCACTGAAGGACAACTAGCCTTCAAAACAAAATCCACAAAAGAAACAGGAATTATACCACATAAACTATGATTTAAAAATGGTAGGGGAAACTCAAAGATATTCTGGTTTGGTTGCAATCCAGAGTCTTGGGCTGAAAGAGTACAATAGACTTTCTTGGAGTGGGCAGATATGTGACGTCCACAGGAGGAAAACCCCAGGACAGTGACAATAGACGTAAGCTGAGTCTGCAATTAACCAGGCCAAGGATAAAGCCAGTTTACATGCTGTTCTGAAAAGGAGAGGTCGCTAGAGAGGAAGAGGTGGTGTGGCTAAGGAGAAAGTCAGTGTTGTGAGTCAGCCGAGTGAGACGCTGAGCATACTGGGTGAGCTGACAGGGGTGGGAATGTTTGCACAGCAGTGGTTGGCAGAGACACCATGGGCCTGAAACTGTGATCAAAGGAGCTGGAATGTAGCCTGTTGAGTTGTCACAGGACAAAGGAGAGAGCACACAGGTTGGGGTGAGGATTGTGTTACCCACGGAGCGTAGAGTAAAAGAAACCATTGGATTGGGAAAGCATTTCATTTGCTCCGTGCAAGAGGACCAGTTGTTGGAGGTGACAGGTCAAGTGCTGTGCAGACACCGTTCTGCTGGTGGTGGCCAGCCACAGAGGGCAGAGTTGATGCACCAGCCAGGTGTCCCTGAGACCCCGGGACTGTACGTTCATTTCCTAAGGTCCTTTCTTCCCGTCAGAAAGGACCGGAATAGGTATCAGTCTGGGGAAACAGGCTGTGTGGATCTCCACTTTTCAATGTTTAAAGAAATGAATTGGGTACGAGTTGAGCCCGGAGTGCTTGGAAGGCTGATGGTGCTAACATTTGCTGGGTGCCAACTATTGATTTTCTGAGCCCTGTGTTGTTTTCACTGTTTTATAGATGTTGACACAGATGGCCAGAGAGATTGTTTGCTCAAGGTCACACAGTAAGAGGTGGAAGTTGGTATTCCATTCCAGCCAATCTATCTGATTACAGAGGGATTTCCTCACAGTACCTGGGCATTGCTGAAGGAACAAAGAATAAAGAGTGTGAGAGAGAGCGAGTGTGTGTGTGTAATTTTCAAAGAGTGTTTGAATAATATAGGGTATTTTCTCTTCGGAAAGAATCAGGACCAATAAGGTTCGCTGCCATTTTGGGCTCTGGGGAGAAAGGAGCCATGTCTCCAGTAGGTTTGCCATTGTGACACACACAGTCAATATGCTTGGATTCCCCCTTGACAAGGCCCATCAGGCCCATGGCTGCTCACCATGTTGTTCCAGAGTGCGATGGCCATCTCGGCATGCCCACGTTCTGAGAAGTGGAAGCAGTCCTCGGAGAGGAAGGTGAGGTCAGCGGCCCCTCTCTGTGACCAAAGGCAAGTAGGTTACCATCCTGGGAAAGGGCTCTACTCCCTGAGCCCTGCTCTCAGCAGGTGCCCCAGGCAGGTCTCCTTTCATCCTTTCAATTCTCCTGCCAACTGGCTCAGATACTGATGGAAAAACCTCCCAGAATTTGGAATTTTCTTTTTTCTTTTTTTTTTTTTTTTGAGATGGAGTCTCGTACTGTTGCTGGAGTGCAGTGGCACGATCTTGGCTCACTGCAAGCTCCGCCTCCCAGGTTCAAGAGATTCTCCTGCCTCAGCCGCCCGAGTAGCTGGGATTACAGGTGCCTGCCACCACACCCAGCTAACTTTTTGTATTTTTAGTGGAGACAGAGTTTCACCATGTTGGCCAGGCTGGTCTCGAACTCCTGACTTTGTGATCTGCCTGCCTCGGCCGCGGCCTCCCAAAGTGTTAGGATTACAGGCGTGAGCCACTGTGCCTGGCCAGAATTTTGTTTGCAAACAGACATGTATTGGAGCGACCCATAGTCTCCCTTTTATTTCGGCACCCCTATCCTAACAGTTGAAAAGAGAAACATTTTATCCCAGTCCAGAAAATATCAGGGCCAGGCCTGGGGAGTTTAGTCACTATTGATTTCCTTTTTCTCTTTCCAAGGACTTCTGAGTTCCAGTCACAGCCCAGCCCCCACAAAAAGGAGGTAATGCAGAAAAAGCGACCCTTAGAGCTCTCTGAGAGAGAGATGGTTTTTTAAAAAAATGCCCGCTTAGAGAAAGAAATACTTCCATTGTCTGTGATAAGGCTCCATACCTGAGCCTCCCTGAAATGCCCACAGCTCACCTCATTCAGTGGAACTGAGTGTGTTTTGGAAGAAAGGCTGCACCACAACCTGTGAAGTCCTCACGCTGCATGTATTGGTGCCAGTAGGAGAACCTGGAGATGCCATCCTGGGGATGAAGAGAGAAGCTATTCAACCCTCCTGGCAAGGCTGCGCAGACAGGGCCAAGTCCTGCTGCCTTGGATTGGCTGTGACAGGAGTCAACTCACCTTAGACGAAAGTGACTTGAAGGGGCTACTCTAGTGGGCTGGATGCATGCTTTTCTTCTCCAGCCATTCGTGGTTACCTGCACTGCAGGGCCTAATGCTGGTTCTCAGGATCAGAGATGAGTTGAACCCAGCGGCTCTATCTGCACAGCTCCACCCAGTCCCATTCCAAAGCCTCTGCAAGGCTGGGTCTGAGCCACTGACCAGATTGCCTGGGTCAAGGGCCTCCCCTGCTCTCACTGAATGAATAGGTCAATTAGAACATGGGGCTGTGGGTCAGATGGGGAACATGTCAACACCAGCTCCCCAAATGCCCGTGAATTCTGTAGGAGAGTCCACGGTTGTTGGATTTCTTAAGTGCCCAAGCATGGAATGCAAAAGGAACAGACTAGACGTACTTATCTTCAAGGAGTTTATCATCCGTCTGGGAAAATGAGACAAGATGTGAAAACATGAGAACCCTACAGGGCTTTGAGGGCCCATCAAGTACAGACTGATGTGATATAGGAGATGTCTGAGGGCGAAGTTCAGGCAGGGGAAGCTCCTTAGAGGAGGGAAGCAGACTTGGCTTGTGAACAAGGACAGGTTAGTTTGCGGAAAGGCTCAGGTAGTATTTCCAGAGGGGGAGCAACAGAGGCAGAAACATAAGCAGGAGTGGAGGTGGGGGGATGGGGGAGGGGCAGAGAGAGGGCGAGGAGAATTTGGAGTAGTGGTAAGTAGGGCGGGGCTAAGGCCTTTCTTTTTTTGAGATAGGATCTTACTCTGTTGCCTAGGCAGCAGTACAATGGCATGATCATAGCTAACTGCAGCCTCCAACTCCTGGGCCCAAGCTGTCCTCCTACCTCAGCCTCCTGTGTAGCTGAGACACCAGGCATGAGCCACTGCGCCAGGCCTAAGCCTTTTGTTTTGACGAAGGGAGGGGAGGAAGTGAGTAGTAATTATTACACGAGGTTCTGGGCGGGGAATGGTCCCACCACATGAAATCTACTCTGTGAGTCTCTTGCTGCCTACCCGCTGGGAGGAGGGGATTCTCTCAGCCTCCACTTTGGGGTCTCTCACTCCCTTTTCTGGCCATGGTGTTCAATTTGCAGGGATAAGTATTTCAGGGGCCATGATCTGCTGTCAGGGAGTGGCTTGCTCTCGGCCAAATCCTGCTTGACATTCCATTTCCAAATCCTTGCTTGGGGAGCACAGGGGCCCCCCAGCTGGGCCAGTAAGAGAAGGGCCACAGGGCTTACCTGGAGATTCCAGTTCACTTTCTGCAATTCTTGCTTCTCCAGGGAGCTCCGAGAGGGTCTGAGGCAAGTACAGTTGTTCCTGTGAGACAGGGAATCTTGGATTGAGGCTCCCCGGGGCCTGGTGGCTCTGTCCCCCTGGGAGGCTGGCTCTGACACACAGAGCAGCCTGCTACCCCAGGTGCCTGTACTGCCTTGCCTGGGGGCAGGGGGGTGATGCACACCTTTGTCTGACCCTCAGACCCAGGTCACAGAACCCTAACTCAGGAGCCACGAGGTCCAGAGGATGCTTGTTCATGGAGAAAGCGGGCGAGCTGGCCCTGGCGCTGGGGCCTCCTTGTGGACAGAACGCCTATTCCCCTGGCTCCCTCTCTCCTTCTTCCCGAGCCTGTGGTCCCCGGGACCCAGAGCAGGGCTGGGTGGACGGAGACTGGAGTGTTGGAAGCCACCCACGATGGCTCTGTCCCTGGATATGCAATCACTGCTCATGTTCCTGGGGCCTCTCAGCTCTTCCTGCAACTGCTTAGGGCTCCAGTGTGGGAAGTCTATGGGAAAGCTGGGGAGGGCCCACCGGCTCGAAGCCACCCTGACAACATGGAACCCGATACAGGCAGACTCTGGAAGAGCCGTTCCCTGCAAGAGAGCAGGGTTCCTCACAAGAATGGGAAGCAGCTGGTCACTTTGCAGCAAATCCATTTGAGCCGAGGTGTGGGACTCCTCAGCTCCCTGGAGAACCTCCCCTCTCATAGCAACAGGCACTCAAACTTTGGGAGGCCTCTGCCCTCAGAGCATGGCAACTTCCCGCCAGGGTTCCAGAGCTTTAACGACTCCAGCCCGACAGGAGTTCCTGTCTTGCCCATTGGCACCTTGCCTCCAAGCCCAGCGTTAAGGACAGGTCCCATCAAGGATGGAATAAAAGCTACTTCCTAAGACCCTGCTCTCCGTGGGCCAGGTCTCTTCCTTGCTTCCTCCTGACCTCGCATCTTCCTTGCAGGGAAGGTGTCACCCCCCCCCCCCCGCTTTACAGACGAGGAGGACAGAGGCTCATGGAGGTTGTGTGGTTTGTTCAAAGAACCACAGCTCCTAAATGGCAGAGCAGAAGTTGAGGCCGGATGTAGCAGCCTTGAAAGCTCATGGCCCCAGGCTGCCTCTCCACAGCGGGCAACTAGCCAAGGTTGAACTTGGCAATCACTGGCAATGCCAGGGAGCCTTAAGCATCATTTGGTCTGTCTCCTTTTACAGAAGAGCAAACTAGGGTCTAGAGAAATGAAATGAAGCGCCTTGCATGCAGTAGGCATTCGCAGATGGGAGGTACTTCCTGCTGTTCTCCAAGCCCCTGAGCCCTGTCTGTCCTCTGGCAGGCCCGCCTGGCTCGGCCTAAGCTGGTCTTCTTCTTTGGTACCTGTAAGCCCTCCTCACCCCAGGTGCCCTTGCCTTGGGGCAGTGATCAGTCCACTTACTGAGCTGCCAGCATGGCACATCTCCCGCCCTGGCTCTGGTGCAGGCTGGCCAGCTCCATGACCTCCACCACGTTGACAAAAGCCCTTGGGAGCTGCCGGGAGTGGAGGGATGGTGTCGTCAGGCCCCGGGCAGTTGTGGGGGGAGGGCACTGGCTACTGCCGGGAGGAACCTGGGGATCATCTATAATCCAATTCCCACCCCCCGATTTCACCAGTGAAGACGCTGAGGCCCAGAGCGGGGATGTGGCTTGTGCTAGCTCACTGAACCTTCTTGAGCAGCCCTGCTTTGTTGATAGAGAAGCTGAGACACAGAGAAGTCGCTTGCCCGAAGCCACAGTGCTGCCTGCAAACCTGGGCCAGCTGGTTGAGAGGCAAGCTCATTCCTACTGCACAACCCTGGCTCTGGCCAAGTGAGAATTTCCCCGGCCGAGGAGCCTGGCAGCTCATCCCTCCCTGCCATCCAGGTGCCCACTCAGGGCGGGTCTCTGCTCAGCGAGCATCTCACTGAACACAACCTGCCTAGATACATCCCAGGGAGGCAGCTGGCGGGACCCAGGAACATGCAGCCTCTCTCCTACCTCCGCAGAGAGGATGTCCAGGGCTTGTCGGATATGCTGGACGTACTCCGTGGCCAACTGGGCCTCCTGTAAGGCAAAAAGGAAAGTGACTTTAGCCCCTGGTGCCCCCTCTGAGAGAATGGCAAGAATGCAGGAGGGCTCTGGGGCCCGGGCCATGACTGCGTGGGTACAGAGGGGCTTTGGTGGTCCTGGGAAGCCCAGCCCTTGTTGCTGGTGAGTCTTCGTAAGAAATATCCCTTGTCTCCTACTAGACGCCACGAACAATCCCAACCCCCACCCTGCTCTAGATAATCTCAGACCCAGTGGCGGACTCTGCCAGTGCTGGGCCCTGCCACTTTTCGGCCTTGGCTCTTGGCGGTCGCAACCATCACCTGACCTCCGTCCTCTCCAGCCACTTGCTGTGCCCTGGGTGGCCACACTTTCTTTTTCCTTTGGTCTTTGGTCCATGCTGGCCCCACTGCCTGGAATGTTTTGCTCTCCTGTGTTCCCCTAACTTCTACCCCCCGGGACTCAGTGTAAGTTTCTCTTCCTCTGACTCGTCTCCCAGCACCCCGCCAACAGGAGGCTAAGTTAGAGGTGTGCCCTTGGCATCCTGGGTGATGCATGCGAGGTACATAGTAGGTGCTCAATAAATCCTTGCAGACTGACTGAACCTCAGGACTTTGCTTTATAGAGAGGGAGATGGTCCTATATTTTTAGATGGGGCTCTGGATTCCTTAGAAGGTGTCAGAGGCTGATACCAGCAGGGGTGCGAGTGGTGGCCTGAAGCTCTTAGACTCACGGACGAATGCATGTCTGCAGGAAGCGGGAGCGGAGGCACCCACAAAGCAGCACCACTCAGGCAAGAGGGGAGAGCTCAGACAGCCCATTATTTTTTCTGGAGACAAAGAAACTGAGGCCAGGTGAGACACTGTGCGCTGAATTCCAGCACACTGATGGACGCAGAAAAAGTGCTGCTTGCTCAGTTTCTGCCCACAGCTAGCAGAAGGGGTACTGGGAGTTGGGAAGGAGGGGAAAGGAACAAGAAGATACAGTCCACACTAAAGAGTTAAAATAGAGAAGGGGGCCTCATGTCTCTGCCCTTCCCCCTTTCCTTCTTTTTAAAACAGTCTGAGTTAATCCTGGTGGTGGCATCCCAGTCCTTTCAGCTAAACTACGCTCTCAGGAGTATAAACCTTACTGTTCCCATGAACACACATTCTGTGGCTAGTAGAGGGGATTTCCCTATGCCAGCATCCATGGGCAGCTCTGGGGTCTACGTATCCCTGGAGTCTAGGACACAGCAATACTTAAATCCCCATGAGGTTGGGTCACTTCTGCCTCCAGAGGCTGGGCGGTCGGGGAGAGAACTGAGGTGAAGAGGTTCCTGTGTGTGGGAGGATACGTCTCATCAAGGCTTTGGTAGTTGGTCTCTGTGAGCCACAAGAAGTGATAAATGCCTTCTCCCCACCACCATCTGTGACTGTCAAACATTCGACCACAACCTCTGAGGCTGGGCAGCTGCCTTTTCCTGGCCAAATAAAACACAGAATGTCCCCAGCTTAGAACAAGATGTATTCCGAAATAAAAACTTTTGGAAATTACAACTTCCAGAAGTTTGTGAGTCTGGATCTATTTCCCCATGGAAACAGGAACAGGATCGGGCTCCCGGGGCCGCCACTGAGGTTTGGTTAACTCCTGATAGCCCAGCCAATCCCATCTAGAACATCGTTTTGTCTTTTCTCATGATGAAACGGGGCAGATACGGTGTGAGGATGGCTAGTCCCCTATCTGGTACCAAAGGTCATATGTATGTGGATAAGACAGGCCATGCCTCCGCAGTGCTCACAGAGGGTCCACCTAGACCTGACTCTGGAACTGGGGAACCAATGTAGGCCACTCGGGCAGTAGAATAAGGCTGGGCCTCGCCCACCATGTGTAAACCAGGCAGAGCCTGGGGCAGCCGGCAAATGTGGCTCCCATGAGCAAGGAGCTTGGGGCAGGGCCAGGAGGGATGGGCAAGGATGGTACCAGAGGTCAGCAACTTCCTCTCAGTCCCCATGGGGTGGGTCAGGGGCTTACCGGATTCTCACAGTAATGACACAAGTCGTTGCCCCCAATGAAGAGTGTGACCAGCTTCCAGTCTTTCTCCAGGTTGATGTCCTGAGGGGACAGAAGATCCTGAGTTTAGGCCTTGGTGGGAGGCACATGCCAACGTTGCTACTGGGCCTGCCTGCCCTCCATGTGCCTTTTGTCTTCTTTGTATCAAAACAGAGAAAAGCAGCAAAGTGGGCCAGGCGCAGGGGCTCACACCTGTAATCCCAGCACTTTGGGAGGCCCAGGCAGGTGGATCACCTGAGGTCAGGAGTTTGAGACCAGCCTGGCCAACACGGTGAAACCCTGTCTCTTCTAAAAATACAAAAATTAACTGGGCGTGATGGTGCATACCTGTAATCCCAGAACTTTGGGAGGCCGAGGTGGGTGGATCACCTGAGACCAGTCTGGCCAACATGGTAAGATCCCATCTCTACTAAAAACACAAAAATTAGCCAGACATGGTGGCAGGTGGCTGTAATCCTAGTTATTTGGGAGGCTGAGACAGGACAGTTGCTCGAACCTGGGAGGTAGAGGCTGCAGTGACCCAAGATCATGCCACTGCACTCTGGGCTGAGTGACAGAGCGAGACTTTGTCCCAAAGAGAAGAAAAGCAACAAAATAGGACTCTCCAACCCTCAGTTGGTGCTGGGATAAGGTGCTCCACAGAGAAGATTTGTTTTGGTGCTGTGGGGGTGGGGGAGAGGGATCTGCTCACATAAGGGAGAAGAGCTATTTTCCCCTTGAAATCTTCTTTAAAAAGTTATGTCCCTGGAGAAGTAGAAGGTGAATGTGTCCCACATGTCCTTGGCCCATTAAACACCAAGGGGACTACCATGTCCCCCAAATAAAGGCCTTCCAAGGATGCAGCTAGAAGTAAAGGCTGGGAGCTGCCCCTGGGAAGAGTTCCTAGGGCTGGGGAAAGGAGACTGGAGGAGGAGTGCAGGCTGGACTGAGCGGTGGGGTGGGGCTGGGAGGCCCTCTAAGCAGTTGGCTTTCCACTTGGCCACCGCCATAATAGGAGTCCCCCTGAGAGCTGAATTCCTAGGCATAAACACTGAACAGTTAAAAAAAAAAAAAAAAGTGCTAGTGAAAAGTTTCAGAGGGGCAGGGTGAGGGGAAGGAGGGAGAACTGGATTGGAATGAGAAGCCTATTTTTAGAACCCTGCGTTTACGTAATAGGGCTCTGGGAAGCCACCTCATGGTTAAAGCGGGCAGCTGTCAGAGGCCAAGGCCACCGCCTCAGCCAGTTCCCTGTTCCACCTCGCCCTCCTGCAGCTGGCCCTGGGGTGGAGGGTGCCAGAGCCTGCATCTAGGGTTGTGGCCAAAGGGGGAGGCTCCTTGGTAAGGGCTGCTTCTCTAGAGAGACCAGCCTGGGTATACAGTGCTGTGGTGCAGAGGGACCCTTATGGGGCTGTCCCCTCCCCAGCCAGCAGGAGATCGGCACCTTTTGGGGGTGGCCTGGGGACCTGTACTCACAGGGCTGTTTTTCATTCGCTCTACCAGGTCCCGGGCCTGGGCTGGCATATCCCTAGGCAGACGGAAGAGAGAGAAGCGTTAGTGCTGGCTCAGGGTCGAGGACTCAAGACTTGGGACTTTGGCCTGGGAAGAGAGGTATTTCAGAAAAAACGATGTCATCCGATACAAAGTTCATTCCATTCTCAAGAAATCTCAGTAACCATCACAGGGCTGCCGTGGACCCTGGAGCCACATGGATCTAGTCCCTGCCACCCAGTCATCTAATCGGCCCCTTTGGTTGGGATCCTGTCAATCCTCTCATCAGGGACTTTCCCTTATAGTTCCTCAAGCTCTTTCTTTGTAAGCCGAGGCTGTTCATTTCTTCTTCAGTTGCCTGTTTTAAAAATCACCTTTTATATATTTGAGAAAAGTCCCAGCTCTAAATTATCCCTCAGTTTTCTCCTTTCCAGGCTTAATGACTCCTTTAACCTTTACTTCTAAGCCCTGCTCTCTGCTCCTTTAATCCTTTTGTTTTTCTTCTCTGTGGTTACTTAGATTTCCACACCATTCCCCATCTCCTCGCTTTCCCCTCATCTCCAATAAAACCGGATAGACAGGATGAATTCTCTCTTCGTGCCCTGACGTCTGCCATAAATAAAACAATGCCATTTGGTGTTCTGGATAAGGCATATGAATGCCAATGAAACACTACTCAGCCATAAAAAGGGATGAACTATTGATATACCCAATAACATGGATGCACCTCAAAATCATCTTGCTAAATAAGTCAGATAAAAGTATATATTCTTCGATTTCATTTATATAAAATTTCTAAAAATGCAAACTTATCTATAGTGATGGAAAGAAGGTTAGCGGTTGCCTGGGGTGTGGGGTAGGGACAGCAAGGGGCGGGAGGGAGAGATTACCAAGGCCTGAGAAAACTCCCTTGGGTGACGTTTTTTGTCTTGATTGTGGTGGTGATTTCACAGGTACAATGTTAAATTGTATCCTTTTTGAGACAGGGTCTTACTCTGTTACCCAGGCTGGAGTGTAATGGTGTGATCATGACTTAACTGCAGCCTCAACCCCCCTGAGCTCAAGTGATCCGCCCACCGTAGTCTTCTGAGTAGCTGGGAGTACAGGCACGTGCCATCATGCCTGGCTCATTTTTTGTATTTTTGGTAAAGACAGGGTTTCACCATGTTGCTCCGGCTGGTCTCCAACTCCTGGGCAATCTGCCTACCTCACTCAGCCTCCAAAGTGCTGGGATTAGAGGCGTGAGCCACAGCACCCAGCCAAATTGCATCCTTTTAACGTGAAGTTTATTGCATGTCATTTATACCTCAATAAAGCTGCATTTAAAGAAAAGATAACGTCTACGAGAAGTTAGGTCAGCAAAGGGATACAGCCAATGAAAGCTTCCATGGAAGAAGCCATAAAAGCAGTAACTGGTACGGGCTGGTCATTGAAAATCTTTGGGTGTCCCCCGGAAGCTGGGTATGTGGCCAAACACAAGTGGTACCATCCCCACCCTTCTCATTAAGAATTTACAGATCTAGGATTTTATCTCATACATTACTGCCATTGATGAGTACATCCAAAAGCTATAAAGAAAGACTTTCTTGGTCAAAGGTGACCACAGAAGTGCCTTTAACCTTTTAATAGGTTCAAAATGTTCCATGGGCAATAAGCCATCGTGGGTAGGAGGGGGAAGTTATCAACGCTGCTGCTTCTCCTCTTCCTAGCCAGCGTCTTCCCAGTCTTCAGGCCCAGACTAAGTCCTGCTTCCCCTCGAGCCTCCTCTCCAGGCTCACTGATCCACATCCTGCATTTCCTTCTTTACCCCAGGGACCAGAGATTCTCCTTTCAGCTCTGCTACCGACTTGCTGTGTGAGCTTGTTCTAGTTGCTGGATCTCGGTGGGGTTGACTTTTCCCATCTTTTAAAGGAAGAGGTTGGGCTGGATGATTTCAGGGGTCCCTTCTGGGTCCGCAGCTGTGTTTAGACAGTGCAGTGCACACCTCATGCTCTCCTGTTCTCTTAACTGCACTCCATGACGAAGCTCTGCAATGTTGCCATATTCAGGATTATCTTTTTCAGAAAGTTATTTCCCATTTGTTTAGTCTCCTTACCTAGGGTGCAAGCTCTTTGTGGGCATGGAGTTTACCTTTTTGATTCCTTTGTATCTTTTATTTTTTATTATTATTACTGGAGATGGAGTTTCATTCTTGTCACCCAAGCTGGAGTGCAATGGTGCGATCTTGGCTCACTGCAACCTCCACTTCCCAGGTTCAAGTGATTCTCCCACCTTAGCCTCCCCAGAAGCTGGGATTACAGGCACTTGCCCACACAACTAATTTTTGTATTTTTAGTAGAGATGGGGTTTCACCATGTTGGCCAAGCTGGTCTCAAACTCCTGACCTCAGGTGATCCACCAGCCCCGGCCTCCCAAAGTGCTGGGATTACAGGCGTGAGCCACTGTGCCTGCCCCTTTGTATCTTTTCGTTACCACTTTGGGGTTCGGTCCTTTGCAGGTGTTTAATGAATTCTTATTGATTGATGGAAGAAAAGTTAGATGAAAAACACTTTGAAATTAAAGATCCGTTATTAAATGGTCAACTTTTAAAGCATTATTTGTACTGCACTACCTTTTTGGTGTGTATTATGTACTGTGCTACATTCTTTTCATGGACTATTTATCTCATTTAATCCTTATGACAACCCAGTTTACAGAGCAGTTATCCAACCTTCCTTTCTTAAGTCAATGGATTACTTTCCTTGCCCCTAACATTGGATATCAGAGATACCCACAGGAGCTACATGTCTCAGCTACTTCCCCGGCCACTGACTTCGTCTGGCAGAGGTGCTGAGCAGCAGTCAAACAGAAACAGCAGCAAGAGGAGTGAAGTGAGAAAGGAAGAAGGGCCTTGCATGTCAAAAGAGTGAGAAATCAACCCCTGGAAAATGAAGCCTGTACAGTACAAGAACAATAAAATGACGACGGCAGGAACAGTGATGACAGCAATCATAGTAACGGTAATTAGATGGTGCTATAATGAAGCCCAGTTTTTGCAGAAAAATAAGTTCTTCCTGCTCATGACGTTGCGGAACTGACATTGCTTCCTGTGGGTGAGAGACTCAAACAGAGCATGGGACCCACGTTACCACTTCTGAAAGGAACATTCCCTGTAAACAGTGAGTCAAGCCGGTGTCGTTTCCCTGGTGATCTGAGCATAGTGATCCTTCTACAAAGCACACACCCAGCACGCTCCATGCAGAAAATCAATGAGCCCGGTCAGGCATTTCAGCTTTAATTATCTGGGCTGCTGTCAACAACAGAAATCCCAGTGAAAACAAACAGCCACCACGCTGTTTTGGGGGCCCTGACCCATCTCACTTCCTAGTGTCAGAATACAGCTTTTTCAGAGTCAAAGACTGAAGTGAGTGAGGAAGAGAGAAAGGGCAGCCATCCTGGGGGTCATGCACTCAGTTCTCGGGGTGCTGAGAGCCACCCTGCACGTTTGCCCTGCTGGGCAGGACGTGGAGCTGGAGCCAGCAGGGACAGTGCTTGGGTCCACGGCAGATGTGCCTCTCCTGCTGCCCTGGAGAGGCGGTAATAGCACAGCGGTCAGAGCAAAGGCTCCTGATTCAGGTATGGCCTGATCCTGCCTCCTCCGATAACTTGCTGGGTAATCTTGGTGGTTCTGGAAAGCTTATAAGCCTCAGTGCCCCTGTCCAAGGGTGTGAGGCTCTCAGGAGATAATTCACATGGAAGGTCCTGCACAGCTGCTATTGCCCCCGGGACCAGGCACCCAGACACCACCCTCCTCTCCTCCGGTTTCCCACCCTGCTATCTCAGCCTTGCCTTCCACTCGCCCTCCTGTATGGCGTCTACTCACCTCGCTCTGGCCCCTTCCGCTGCTACGTTTAGTCCTGCTGTCCCCTCCCAGGTGCCGGTAGAGAAGCCAAGGAGGTCAGGGTTGAACTTCTTCAGAATGTCTTTAGAGGAGGAGGGAGGAGGTGAAGAGCACAGGTGAGAGCCTGCAGGACCCTCACAGTGGCTGAGATGAGCATGCAGGGTGGGGATGCAGGGGTGGGACACGGGGGTGGGACACGGGTGTTCTGGGGCTTTTCAGGGCTGGCTGACTGCCCTCCTTGCAGTGCCTCTTTCTTTATGGTCCCCAGTTCCCGGCTCTGACCCTTCAAAGAGTCTCCCTTCCTTTCAGGATCAAAGCCAGATCACTTCACCGATCTTCTGAGCTCGCCCTAACCCGGTTTCTCCTTTCCTTCCCCTTGTTTGCTCCCTCCTTCCCAGGCCACACAAACCTTCAGACCTAAGCTAATTACTTGCAGATAACCTCCTCTTCCCCTCCTCCAGCAGGAAGGCCCTAGCCCCAGGGAGCATGGCCACAGTGACGGTGCCTCTCCAGGCTGCTACTTACTGGGCAGTGTGGTGTGGGTCTCCAAGTCCCCATCCCCTCCGATGCTGGGGAGAAGAAAGCTTATTTGTTAAAATCACCCCGACATGCTGCCGGAACCAGAGACTTTGCCCCCCGGGGCGTCTCTCCCATCACCCTCGGGGGTAACACAAGCACCACAGTCTCCTGTCTCAGCGCTGGGCCCTGGGGACCCAACTGCATCCTGGGAGGGGTGACAGAGGGGAAACACTACCCAGGCCTCTTTGAGAGGGTGTCATCAATAGCGTGGGAGTCAAGAACATCCTCACCTCCAAGAGAGTCCCCTCCAAGATGTGGGCAGGTCACTGGAATTGTTTGGTCGAGCTCCCACTGCTGTCTGTAAAAAGCAAAGAGAAAGTTCAGGGCTGGGCTGGGATACAGGCTGAGGGCACTGGGAGAGCCTCCTCTGGCTCAGCTGGGACCTAGATTTGCCTTTTCTAAAAATAGGACCGGCTTTTCTCCAGGCCACCTTAAACTTGGAATGGTATTGATACAGTCTTCTCCCCACTTCTCTTCCTACAACCCATAACCAAGTCCTGCTGGTTCCTCCTTCCCACCCCGTCTAGCACCCACCCCTGTCTTTTCATTACCTTTGCTGTGTTCCTAATTGAGACCCTCACCTCCTTGCCAGGGCAACGCCCTGGCCTCCTCTCCTGCCCGAGTGAACCGATTCTGGTTTCTGTTCCTCCTGCGCGTGCCTCTTTCTTTATGGTCTCCAACCCCCGGCTCTGACCCTTCAAAGAGTCTCCCTTCCTTTCAGGATCAAAGCCAGATCACTTCACCGATCTTCTGAGCTCGCCATAACCCGGTTTCTCCTTTCCTTCCCCTTGTTTGCTCCCTCCTTCCCAGTCCACACAAACCTTCAGGCCCTAAGCTAATTACCTGCCACTGTTTGGGAAATCTGAGGGCCTTGGGCTGGTCTCCGCCATTACTACCCACTCCCCATCCCTTCCTGGATCGCTGAAACTCTCTGCTTTCCAGCACCTTACATCTCTAAATTCCTTCTCCAAGATGCTCATCAATTACTATCTCCTCTCTAAAGCTTTCTTTAAATGCCCTGTCTTAAAAAAAAAAAAAAAAAAAGAAAAAAAACAAAACTGAAATTTACAACAGTAACATGTGAAATGATACAAAGATTTAAACAAATGAATAATCTACCCCTACCTTAAGAATCCTGCCCCCTGCCACGGCCTCCGCACTCCCTCCTCACCCTTTACCCACATGCAGATACCCCCAGAGCTCGCCAGTGGTGAACACACTCGTGTGTGCCTTTCCACATCTTTTTCCATGTTCATGCCAAAATGGAAACACATTCACACACATGTGGAGCTGGTGTTTCTACTGAAATAAATACCCCATTGAAAAAGTCCTGTGTGGAAGGGAACAACCCACGCTGGGGCCTATCAGAAGGTGGAGGATGGGAGGAAGGAGAGGATCAGGAAAAATAACTGATGGGTACTAGGTTTAATACCTGGGTGATGAATAATCTATACAACAAATCCCATAACACAAATTTACTTATATAACAAACCTGCACATGTACCCCCAAACTTAAAAGTTAAAAAAAAAAAAACAAGTCCTGTATATCACCTGTGTGATAATGCATTTCTTTCTGTGTAAGTTACTTGTTTTTCCAGCCAGGCAGGTTGCTGGGGGGCTATGACTGCATTTCACACTTTGTTTCCCTTAGAATTGTTAATAGAGCATTGGTGTGCACAGCAATGGCTAAATAACTGGCAAACGCAATTCATTTAGCAAGACTGTGCTATGTGCGGGGAACTGGGCTCCCTCTGTCCCAAAGACATGTCTGTAAATGGAGTAGGGAGCATGGGGCAGTGTGTGTGTAAGACCTACCACTCTGAGTCTGAGTAGATGGAGACGAATCCCCTGATAAAGGCAGGGAGACTCGGATGAGTGTCATCATAGTGCCATCACACACCCACAAAACACTTGTCAACAGCGAGGAAGTGGGAATTGCTTCCCCCTGGAGATTGAGGGGAGGCCTCGTGGAGGAGGGGGCTTCAAGAAGAACTGGGAAGGTGGCAAGACAGGGCATTCTACATCACCTGGCTGTGTTTCAGTGCCTGACACAGGCAGGCCCCTCAGTAACGTGGGCTCAGTGCTGAATGCAGAGCCAGTGCTGGGGAAGAACAGATCCCACCCTGGTTCACGGCTCAGTACTTACAGTCAGCGAGTCACCCAGGGCGGCCACCACTTTGATGTCTGCTGGTCGGAGCTCGTGGACTAGGGGAGATAAGCAGAGAGATGGTTGTAGGGGCTGGGAGCATCTACCTTTTCAAGTATACGTTTTGCCAGGAGTCTATAACTCTGTCCCACAGCTACCCATTGCACTTATTTTCAGCTTAAGGCTTTAGCAATTTTGCATCTTCCGTTCATTCAGCACAACTAAGGCACTGAAGGGAGTGGGGTTCACGGCTATCGTCCATCCTCAGAGGAGCCTGATTCACACTGGGTGGTCCAGGAAAGTTCCAGCTGCAGGGTCATGTAGCACAGGCAGGCAGAATCCCAGTCCCTGACTCCACCTGCCTCACTGCGCAGGGAGGCATAACAGACTGTCATTGGGACTATATGGAGACAAGAAGTGGCATTCAGTGGAGAGGTCTGTGCTCCTCCACATGGAAGCCCAGCGGTGGCTGCAGGCCACAGGATCCAGGTCTGCACTGCATGGGAGTTAGTAAGCCTGCTTAAAGAGCTCCAGGGTCTCTTTGCAGGGTCCCCCCACAACAACCTGATATTCAGCCAGGCCCTTATCGAAGGGGATGATGATATTTTCACTCACCAGAGGTTGGAACACTATTGGAAGCATTCCACTCTGTACACAGGAAGTCGCTGCCCCAGTTCTAAATCAACAGGAGAAAAGGACTCAGTGTCCAACACTCATTGTGGAGGGAGATAAGCTTCAGCCCAAGAAGAACCAGCTAAGGGATTTTTGATGGAGGCTAGAAATACATCACCATAGAGGATCATGTGAGGGAAAGAACTTCGAGTGGTAGGTGGGCTAGGAGGGAAACTAGAGGGGGAGACGTGGGTGTGACTACCTACCCCTCTGCACAACCCATAGTGCACGTCCCCCACACGCGCGCCCACACACAGCCTTTCCTATCCCAATATATCTACGCTTTGAATGGAGTCAGGAGCTGCCCCAAGCAGGGAAGAAAACCATGAAGTCATACACAGGTGGTCTCCCAAAGGAACACAAGATTTGGATGCCTAATAATAAGATTATAGGTATGTGTGGTTTATAAAATTAAGCTAACTGACACTAATTATAATGCTAGAACCTAAACAATAATTAAAATATTTTTACAATAATACCACAAAATATTTTACAATTGCAAAGCTCCTGGTTTCTGCGTATATTTTCCGGATACCTGTATATCTTTTTGCATATTTAACTTAACAGCCTTATTCCTTATATATTTGTAAAGTTATGCAAGCAAACCTGGATGCTTTTACTCAACTTTCTTTGTCTCTAATACAGAGCATATTTTCCAGGTGTTGGGGGAAGGAGTGGGATGGGAAGCAGAGGGCACAGAAGTGATTAGTACCAGAAATCTGGGGGAGAATTGAGTATCTTCCCAAAGTCCCAAATATATGCACGGTGAGTGTGGAGTAGGGCTTGATTAGCAGGTTGACTGATTCTCCAGGAGACTGACTGTCAGATGCTATGAAAGCTTATCTCATCTGTTCAGTTACATGATGATGAAGATAAGCCTTGTTGAAATATTCCTATCATGAGGGAGCAAAAGTTGAACTTCTTTTAAGTATTATTTGCTTAACCCAATGGAATTCAGTTTTTTTTTCTAAGGGATTGCTCAGTTCATCATACTGATGGATTTCTTCTGTTTGGAAGTTTCACTGAAATTAAGAACACGCTTGTGTGCAGATGCTAAACACTCAGAGAAAAGCACGTAAAAAGGTATACAACCATCAGCAAGTGAGATACGTCTTAGATAGTTGGGGAACCAGAGATAAGCATATTGCATGTGGATTAACAGACCCTGTTTGGAATTTAAGCGTGCTCATCTGTCGCAAGGGAAGAACCATGTGCCACATCCAAAATCAGTGCATCCAAATTCCCTGCAGATCTTAAGTTGCAGATTCTGATTGAGCAGGTCTGGGTGGTGCCCAGGACTCTGCATTTCTAACAAGCTCCCAGGTAAAGCCTCTTTGTGGCTACTTTATTAGTTTTGCTTTTATTATTTTATTTTATTTTTTGCTCACCTGGTTGTGCACTTTGGAAGGAGAGCTTTTATTATTTTAATTGACACATTAGTGTACAAATTTATGAAGCGTAGTGTGATATTTTGATACAGCTCTATAGCATGCAATGATCAAATCGGGGTAAGTAGCATATCCCTCACAAATATTTATTATTTCTTTGTGTTGGGAACATTCATAATTTGCTATTCTAGCTATTTGAATATATATGATAAACTATTGTTAATTATTGTCACCCTACTGTGCTATAGAACACTAGAAATTATCCTTCCTCTCTAGCTGTAATTTCCTGTTAATCAACTTCTGCTATATCTACTCCCCAACCCCCATCTGCCCTTCCCAGCCTCTAATAACCGCTATTTACACTTTACTTCCGTGGGGTCAACTTCTTTAGCTTCCACATATGCTGAGAACATGTGGTATTTGTCTTTCTGTGCCTGACTTATTTCACTCAACATAATGTCCTCTAGACTCATTCATGTTACCTCAGATGACAGAATTTTGTTTTGTGGCTGCTTAGAGTAGAAAGCTATTAAAACCAACACTCTTCTAACTCTGGGATTTTTAGCTCTTCCAGCAGCAAAAGCAAAGATGCATGAGACTGAAGAACCAAGAGGGCCGATCCAAACCCACTCTGCTCACCACTGTCTACCCAGCGCTTAGCACAGCACCCGCTCCACTTAGGCATCCAATAGGCAAATGCTGAATAAATGAATAAATGCCTGATTCACTAGATGCAGCTGACATTTTAGTTCTCATAGAATTTGGTCACTGGTTTAATGAGGACAAGCCTCCACTGGGCTAACATGAACCGGAGAAAATTCAGAGAGCTGGAGACGGCATAACCCACAGCCGGGAAGCTGGTATTGCTCCTACCCCAGAGCTTAGCAGCCAACAATGCTTCAGTAATTTCATATGGGTTAGTTTCTTTGGCTGGCTTGTGAAACATCTTTCCCCAGTCACTCCTGCTGATCTCCAACCCATTCTCCACATAGCAGTCAGGGAGAACTTTGAAAGAGGTGAACCAGATCATGTCACTCTGTCCTGAGACTGCCAATGGCTTCCCACTTTTCTCCACTTGAAATCCACCGTTTTCAACTCAGGAATTCAGGCTTTGTGTGATCTGGCTCCAAGGCACCCCCGATCTCCTTTCCCCTACTCTCCACCTCATTCTGATGCTCCCAGCCACTCTAACCTTCCTTCTCTTCCCCAGATACACCCAACTCAGTCCCACTTCTGAGCCTGTGGTCCATTGTTCTTCTGCCTGGGACTGTGTTTCTGGCTCTCCGTGTAGCAGGTATCTTTTCATTATGCATGTCTCAGTTCAAATCTCCCCTCAGGGAGGCCTTGCCTGCACAGTGCACCTGAATTTGCCTCCGTTGCCCCAACCCATCACCCTCCTCAAAGCTGTCATCACTATCTGAAGTGACCATGCCTAGCCATGTATATACTGAGAAAGATGCCTTTCTCAGTAGATTGTAAGCTACGTGAGAGCCGGGCTCCATCTGTTTGGTTAGCACTCTGTCTTCCTGGAATGGTGTCTGGCACATAGTATGTGCTCACTAATCAAACTCTATTGGGCTCTCACGTCCCCTGGTCAGGACCATGTTCGATACTTCTCTGTCTGTCTTCTGGACCCTAACAGGAGACTGGATACACTACAGGTGTGAAACTGAAACTGAAACTTGAACCCCTCTGGTGACCAACAGACCTGATCTGGACCAGGCCTGCCTGCAAGGCATGGAGTAGTCTGGGGTCGTCCAGGCTATCTTTGGAGTGGCCATCCCTAAAGCCATGGGCTCTGAATCCTCAGCACTAGAATGATCGACTTGAACCAGACAAGGCCCAGGGGCCCACGTGAACATGCCTCTACTTCCTTTTGGGCCTCACTCCTGGAATTGCAGTTCCCTCCCCACTCAGCTTCCACCTTCACACCCACTGCCTCTCCCTCTTGAGAGGCCGAGCTGCCTAAGCAGTAACCATGTCTGTGAGCCCAGGATTGCAAAGGTCAAAGAAAGTCGATCCACAGCCACTTCCTCTGCTTGGGGGCTGACATCAGGTAAGCAACTGGAGAACATGTTAGGGCAATCCTGGGGCTTCATGGTTCAGGCACCTTTTCTGTACATTCCAACCCCCAGTATGTAAGAAGGACATTTCTGCTTCGATGAACATTCTGAAACCTGCACCACACCCAAGCCCCTGGCAGGTGGAAATGGTTTGTGTCTCAGAGGGAGATGTGAGTCAGTGGTTACCTCAATGGCTGGCTTGGTGGGGTAAGTGTAGTTACTGTTCCGAGGGGTTCTCAGGAAGGGCTCACTCTAAGAGAAAAGGAGAGATGACATGGAGAGGTTATCTAACAGCACTGAAGTTTGCTTGAGAAGGAGAAAAACAATCCTGCCCTGTAGATTTATTTAACATGATTCTTCTGCACTTAAAGAACTGTGTAAACATAATTTCACCCATTCCCCAGAGGGTTTTACGTAACAGCTTTGGCGAAGAAGGACAATAAAAGGCCTGCAGAGGGTTTCGCACACATTCTAGTCTGGGGTCTGTGCTTTTGTGTTCCTCCTAGAAAATGAACATCTCTCTAATCCTCAGGCTTATCTATTTTCTTGGCTTTGTAATTTCTCTAGCAAGGGATTTGTGTTTCAGCATTTGTTTTCCCTCTTCCAGAAAGTGCTATGATTATCAACAGATTTGAGTATCTGTCAGGATTTTCTTTCTGCCTCCTTTGAACTATGTGTCTTATCCTCTTTAGGTTGGCTTCCTGTGTAACAGTCATTTTTCTTGTAAAACATCCTCATTCCCTACTCACCTGTTTCACGGTCAGTTTTCACACAAGCTCAGTCAAGAACCCAAGCCCACGCAGTTGCAGGTGAGGGGTTAATTAAAGAAGGAAGAAGGAAGCAGACGAAGGAGAAGTAGGGAGAAAGCTAATGAAAAACTGTAAAAATGACAGCAAAGCAAGATCGACTTGATAAGACTGAGATCAGGAAATAGCAACTGGGCCCGGGGCTGTGAACACTCTCACAAAATGTGTTCAGTCGAGTAGCAAGCCCATGGTCTGAAAATTTGAGAATAAAAGGGGAATAAGAAAAAAAACCAGGCTGGGCACAGCGGCTCATGCCTGGATTCCCAGTGTTATGAGAGGCTAGGGTAGGAGGATTGCTCGGGGCCAAGAGCTTAAGACCAGCCTGGGAAACAGAGCGAGACCCCATTTCTGTCTTTTTTTTTTTTTTTTTTTGAGACAGAGTCTTGCTCTGTCACCCAGGCTGGAGTGCAGTGGTGTGATCTTGGCTCACTGCAACCTCCACTCCCCAGTTCAAGCAATTCCCTGCCTCAGCCTCCCAACTAGCTGGGATTACAGGTGCCCGCTACCACGCCTAGCTAATTTTTTTATATTTTTAGTAGAGACGGGGTTTCACCATGTTGGCCAGGCTGGTCTTGAACTCCTGACCTCGTGATCAACCTGCCTTGGCCTCCCAAAGTGCTGGAATTACAGGGGTGAGCCACCGCACTTGCCCCCCACCCCCGCTTTTTTTTTTTTAGAGGAGTAAGCAATTTCGTTTATTTTCAAAGTCTGACACTGTCAGTTGGTAAGCTACCAAACTCACACTAATTTCTGTGAAGCAAGCTGACTTAATCATCTATCTATACTAGCTCATCTGCCTGAGCTGCTAAGAATAGTGAACATTTACTGGAACATACTATATGCCAGACACCTCTAGGCTTTTTTTTTGAGATGGAATCTTGCTCTTCATCCAGGCCGGAGCACAGTGGCTCCATCTCAGCTCACTGCAACCTCCACCTCCCTGGTTCAAGAAATTCCCCTGCCTCAGCCTCTTGAGTAGCTGGAATTACAGGCACACACCACCACGCCTGGCTAATTTTTTTTTGTATTTTTAGTACAGATAGGGTTTCACCATGTTGGCCAGACTGATCTAGAACTCCTGACCTCAGGCAATCTGCCCGCCTGGGCCTCCCAAACTGCTGGGATTACCGGTATGAGCCACCACACCCAGTTGGTTCTTTATAATAATTGCCTCTTCATTCAACCTTCTCAAAATATCCATGGGACAGATACTATTATTATCCACATTTCATAATTGAGAACACAGATGAGGCTCAAAGAAGTAAAGTTGCTCTAAGATAAAAAGATTATTTCCTTCAAACATTGATCAAGAGTATTTGTCAGTTAGGAATCATGTCATTTCAGAAACTGCATTTATAAAAATAAGAATGTTTTATTTTTGCCTTATCTAGTAGCAAACAGAAAACTATCATCACTTTGAGAGCCAATATTGTTCTTTCTCCTCGGATCACAAGCTCACATACAGTCAAGCAAGTGCCCCCCAAAAAAACCCCAGAATTGAAAACAGGTGTATTCCCTTCAGAAAAATCAAAGCTAGAATGTTTAGCTATTAAAGTGCTTCCCCCTAGACTGAGACCAAGTGACTTTGCTGCAGTGGCTCAAGAGTGGCTGACTCCCTCCTTCCGAGTCAGCCCATTATAGAATGCCTATTGCTAAGTAGCAAGCCAGGGCCTTAGACTGGATCCCTCAAAACGTTTGGCTCCGGCTGTCAGCTGTCAGTTCTTGCTGTTAATATTTCTCTGGGCTGGGTGTAGTGGGTCACACCTGTAATCCAGTACTTAGGGAGGCTAAGGCAGGCGGAGCATCTGAGGTTGGGAGTTCGAGACCAGGCTGACCAATATAGAGAAACTCTGTCTCTACTAAAAATACAAAATTAGCCAGGTGTGGTGGCACATGCCTGTAATTCCAGCTGCTCAGAAGGCTGAGGCAAGAGAATCGCTTGAACCTGGGAGGCGGAGTTTGCAGTGAGCCAAGATTGCGCCATTGTACTCCAGCCTGGGCAACAAGAGCGAAACTCCGTCTCTAAATAAATAATAGCCTTGTCATCGGGCACACAACAGACACGGCTCATGCAGCAAATCGGCTGCAGTGGATGGCGTACACCTGGCTGCGGCCCTCTTTGGCATTACCATTGTTTCCTCCTTTGTCATCTTGGAGGTGCAGGCCCAAGAAAGATGAAGGCAAAATCTTAATTTGAGGGTGACTAAATGAGTGCTTCAAGACCACTTACCCCCAGTCCACATTCTGCAAGACAGTTCACGAAAAAGGCCAAGTCGCTGTCTGCCTCAAGGTTCTGGGCTCCACAGTACTCAGCACAGTTGTCCCTGCGTGTAAACTCTTCCCATGGGGCGTGTCTTCCCTGTCTCCCAAGTTAGGCACCATGATGTCAAGGTGCTCTGTCATCAGCACTCTCATCCCTTAAGAATTTCAGGCCAGGTGTAGTGGCTCATGCCTGTAATCTCACCAGTCTGGGAGGCCAAGGCAGGAGAATCACTTGAGCCCAGGAGTTTAAGACCGGTCTGGGCAACATAGTGAAACCCCGTCACTATAAAAAGTTTTAAAAATTAGCTGAGAGTGGTGGTGATTAGGTGAGAGTGCACACCTGTGGCCCCAGCAATTTGGGAGGCTGAGGCAGAGAGGTCAAGGCTGCAGTGAGCCATGACTGTACCACTGCACTCCTCCAGCCTGGGCAACAGAGTTAAGACCTTATCTCCGTTAAAAAAAAAAAAAAAAAAAAAAAAAGGCATTTCAAACAATAACAGCAGTTTAATTCTTCCTTTGGCATCTAGGTAAATCTGGGCAAGACCCCATCTCTGCAACAAATTTTTTAAAAAATTAGCTCGACATGGTGGCATGTGGCATGTACTACTAGCTAGGTAGCAGTCCTAGCTACTCAAGAGGCTGAGGCAGAAGGATTGCTTGAATCCAGGAGTTTGTGGTTACAGTGAGCTATAATTTTACCAGTGTGCTCCAGCCTGAGCAACAGAGTGAGACTCTGATTTAATAAAAAAAAACAATTAGGCTGGGTGCCCTGGCTCATACCTGTAACCCCTGCCCCTTGGGAGGCCAAGGCGGGTTGATCACACAAGGCCAGGCGTTTGAGACCAGCCTAGACAACCTGGTGAAACCCTGTCTCTATTAAAAATACAAAAAAAAAAAAAAAAAAAAAATTAGCCAGGTGTGGGGATGCATGCCTGTAATCCCAGCTACTTGGGAGGCTGAGGCACGAGAATTGCTTGAACCTGGGAGGCAGGGGTTGCAGTAAGCTGAGATTTTGCCAGTGCACTCCAGAGATCGCGGCAGAGCAAGACTCCATTTCAGAAACAGAAAGGGAAAACCAGAATGTTGGAAAAGTGATCTTGTCTCATCCCTGACCACATGCACACAACCATGTTCTTGGCTGGCATTGGAGATAACTGACTTTGCAACCCCCAAATGCCCCACTTTACAGCTGAGGAGCAGCTGAGGCCCAGAGTGAGGAAGGGCCTGGTTCCAGGTTAGGGAGCAAGCAGTGAGTGCAGAACTGGGCCCAGAGCTGCCTGGACAGGCCTGTTGCCTGGTTCCACTCCTCACACTGGAGGTCAGGCCAGCAAAGACCCTGTGGGTCAGATGTGGGAAAGGAAGAGAGGGACTCAGCAGCGACTGGGAGGACAGAGTCCACCCACACAAAAAGCTCTCAGCCCCCAGCTCAAGTCCTGGCTCCCAGAGGCACCCGGCAAGTCTCCCCTTTCCTCTGGTCTCAGCATTCCTGTCTGAAACATGGGCTGGTAATTGACATCCTTTTAAGGAGAGGCACTCAGGGCCAAGGGGGAGAAGTGAGCCCTGGACGGGCTGCAACAGTGTGAGACGGAAGAGGGCTTACAGTTGCAGGGCCGTGTAGCTACTTGGGCTTGTCTCGAGTTCATAGTAAGCATTCCCTGAGCAGTCACCAGCAGAGGAAGGCGATCTGGGAGCATTCCATAAATAACTGACCCACGCTGGTTGAGCAGCTCAAGCGTTAGAGAGTGTCTCTAGGTGCCAGGATGAGGGGAGGAGAGAAAGAGACTCACAACCGGCTCAGGTGGGGAGACAGACTTGAGCAGCTGAGGCAGTGACGCATCAGAGAACGGCGTGGCCACCAAGTGCAGCACCTGCTGAGGACCTGCGGCAAGATTTGGACATGGAGGGTCCTCCGAGACGAGACTCAGTGGCATTCTCCCCGCACTTCGAAGGAGCCTGGACTGGGCTTAGGGTTCAGGGCCTGGAGCCGGTCCTACCATGACCAGCGTGGGAGGCACTAGGGAAAGACAAACCTAACCATTTGGGAAGTGCTGTGAGTGCAACTGGAGAATGTATTTCACTGAATCTATTTGATCATAAGCTCTACAGATGGGGGAAAGGGAGACAGAGCCAAAGGGCCAGAGGTCAAGGAGACATCAGAATGTGGTACGGACTGAGGCCAGGGCAGCTACGATAACCAGCACAGGGTGGCAGCAGACAGGCAGCCGGGGGGGGCCCAGGGCTTGCTTTGTTTTTTTAAATTCCTTCTTTTCTTCCCCCCACCCCCAACTCCTATGCTCTTGTCTAATGGGCTTTTACTGTGCTTTATTGGTCTCGTTTTTATTATTGAGTTTTATTGGGCTTGTTTGTTTTTAGCTGGTTTTATTGACCACTGACCGCTTGGTGCATGCATGAGTCAGAGTGGTTTAAAGCCTGGAGTCAAGCAGATGACGTGAGAGAAAGGTTCGATTGAGCCTGACTGGCTCTCGAAGGCTGGGTTTGGAGACCCGGTAGAAGGGAGGGCCGACTGCATGGTAGCACGAGGAACCGGTCTAGTAGTTCCAGCCGTGCAAAGATGCTGTGGGCTGCCTGGGGCAGGGGACAGGCGGGGGGGGGGGGGAGTGGGCAGTGGGGGAGGCAAAGCCCAGACAGCCACCCGCCTGCCCGATGTGAGTCAGCAACGTGAGTCAGTGGCCATGGGATAAGGCCATTAACATCCTGGCTGCATCACTAGGTGTAACATTCCATGGGGAAGGAGGGGTGATTTTCTTCTCTTCTGCTGGTTGGATCAAACCAGATGTACAGTCACCACTTTGCAGGGGGACACAGTCCAAGGAGAAATACGCATGTGAGGTAGGTGTTGGCAGCCGTGTGTGCAATGAGTGGTTGGAACTGAGAAGACTCTCAGCTGGGTGGTGGCAGTCAGAGGCAGGAGGATATAATGGTGTTTCATGGGATGTCCTATGAGCTTTTCTATCCTATTCCATTCAAAAAGTGCTAGTTCTGCCTGCGCGTGGTGGTTCACACCTGTGATCCCAGCACTTTGCGAGGCCAACGTGGGAGGATTGCTTGAGCTCAGGAGTTTGAGACCAGCCTGGGCAGTAGAGTGAGACCCCATCACTATTAAAAAAAATAGTGCTGGTTCTTTACCTATACTGATTTCAGATGGTTGCAAAGCTCACCTTAAGAAAGTGTGAACATCTGGGGATGGAGACCATTAGGGCAAATACCTAATACATGCAAGGCTTAAAATCTAGATGACAGGTCGATGGGTACAGCAAACCACCACGGCACATGAATCCCTGTGTAACAAACCTGCGCATTCTGTACATGTATCCAGGAACTTAAAAATAAAAAAGCGAACATTTAATCAGAGGGCATAGGGATGCCTTGGGAGGGATGTGGTAGAATTCCATTATTCTATGAGAGATTGCATCCTCAGAAGATTAAGGCCCTCCCCACTGAGAACCTAAGGTTACATAAGTCTATTGTTTCACGGTGGGGAGGTGGGACTAGTTCACCTTTAACACACAAAGTGGTGAGGAGCTGAGCCCCTGCAGATGGGAATGGGAAGGTGGGAAGAATCCTATCAGATTCTGAGGCACTAGGAAGAATCCTATGAGATAGGGTCCCTGACATTTCACGCCTGTAGAGCTTGAAAACCCCAATAACATTGACAGAAATAGAGAACTCCTAGGGAGCAGAGAGTTTGGGAAGACAAAGAATTGTTCCCGTCTAGACATTCCTTGCTCAGAAAATTATTTTTTGAATGAATATTAAGCTTGAGATGGTGGTGGGGTCACAGCAGGATTCGATTTCGAAGTTCTGAGCATCAAAAAGATAGCAATGCCCCTTACATGTAATTCAGTATAGAAATACTGCTAAATCACAAATGATGTTTAAAGGAATTTAACAAACGCCTGCTTTTTCTCATGAGAAAAGATTGGGTGTGATAAATTAACTTATTCCAGCCCCTCTCCTGCTTGATCACACATTAATCTGCCTTTTGGGTAACCTTGTACCCTATAGAGCATCCAAGGGGAAACGTATTTCAAAGGTCGGAAATACAGGATTGGAGTTTGGGAAAGAAGAAATGAAGACACAGCCTGAGAGACTGTGGAATCTGGCACACAGGCATTTCACGGGAAATCCTGGAAATGGATAAGTCTCAGAGTGAGAGGATGTGGAGACAGAGAAGAGAAAACAGAGGCCAGGCACAGTGGCCCACACCTGTAATCCCAGCACTCTGGGAGGCTGAGGCTGGTGGATCACTTGAGTCCAGAGTTCAAAACCAGCCTGGGCAATACGGCAAGACCCTACCTCTACACCAAAACAACAACAACAACAACAACAACCACCACCACCACCACCACTCCCCCCAAATTAGTTGGGTATGGTGATACACGCCTGTAGTCTCAGCTACTTGGGAGGCTGAAGTGGGAGGATGTCTTGAGCCTAGGGCTTCAAGGCTGCAGTGAGCTATGATTGTACCACTGCACTTCCAGCCTGGGAGACAGAGCAAGATCCTGTTTCAAAAAGAGAGTAAAAAGGGAAAGATAATAGAACGGAGACATGAAAATGGAAGAATGTTTCCATTTTCAAGACTGAGAAAAGGGAGGAGGAGGACCATAAAAGGCAGTGACCAGAAGAACAGAAAAATCAAGGTGATTTAGCATCCACAAAACCCAGGAAGGAGAGGACTTCAAGGGGGAGGTGGCGACCTTTGACAAGTATTTCAGAGAGGCCAAGAAGAATGAAAGCTGCAAAAAGGACCAGGCGTTCAGCCAGCTGCCCTGGGGTTAGGAAAGGAGTGGGCAGAGAGCCCGTGGAGGCAGGAAGGGTATAGGCTCAGTCCACAGAATGGCTGTGAAAGAATTTGTCCAACTGGAAAGTACCACAGAAATCCGTGGAGTGCTGTGAAGTCGCCCTACCTGGCACGCAGAATGTCTGAGCAGTTAGACTGGGGATGGCAGAAGGGAGGAGGCTGGGAAAGCTCATGCTCACAAGCGTCTGGGCCTCCTGCCTCCCGCCCCCCACTGCGTTCTGCCCATCGCCTGTTGCGTCTATGTTTAGACACATCTAGGACAAAAATATGTGCTGCCTGGCCCCTGTCAGCTCACACTGAGATGCTGGTGGACTTTTATTATCGCTCCAAGGCACATGGGAGGGAGCAGATGGGACCCGGGGAACGCAGAATGCTCAGAATGCAGTGAAGTTGGGCTGGCCAACAGATGGACCCTTTCAGAATGGGCTCCGAGGTTGCTTAGCAACAGCCTCACCCAGGCTGGGCTTCTACTGGTTCCACGAGGCTGGATCTGCTCACCTCTGCACATTCGTGCAGTGGCTCAATCGGGCTCTGTCTAGAAGGGAGGCGCTGAGCCCACTGTGGCTTAAGATGCTGCTGGGTGGAGCAGCGTCCTTTTCGGGGGTCTCTGCCAGATCTAGGACAGAGCCCGGAAGAGGTTGCCTTGAAGCCCGTGATGACAGGCCTCCCCCTGACCCAGCGCCTAGGCTCCAACTCAGTACTCAATACATGTTGGTTGAAAGAAATTGCAAATGATGGCTGCTTTTGTTATGTAATGGAAGGGGAATGGACAGTTTGGAAAGGGTCTTCCTTGACTGATGTTCAGTATGGCTATATATGGTTAAATTACTGAAATGCCTACACTATGGCTTATTGTGGGTATTTCCGAGTCCCCAAATGCTCCCACTATCCAAGTTCCCTGGCTTCTCCCCTCGAACCCCCTCGACATCCTGCAAATAAAGAGTTTACAACTGGCACAGTAGGGGCCTCTAGGGTTTTGCTGCAGCCCTTTGCCCAGCATCTGACCGTCTGTACTGGAGGCATCCGTGTTGTACTGGTTGTTGCAGAATCTGACAATCTCCTTAGCTCCGAGCACAAGACCCAGCAACTGAGCCCTCTGCTACGATTGTCTCCACTTCTCATCCCTTCTGCCTGCCAGTCTTGTTCTCCTGATGGGGCTGATGGCACAGACTGAGCCTGAGCCCCAGACTGGGGTAGGGCAGGCAGCAGACAGGGAGCATGGATGTGAACAGGGGTGCCCCGCTCTCAGAATTCCCAGCAGACATGCGGGGGGCTGCAGGTCCGGTCCCCAGCAGGGAGGCTGGGAGAGGGTGGTGGGGCAACCCAGGAGGGAAACGCAGCCTCCTGATTGGGTCGGGCCTTCTGCTTTTACTGCTGCTGAAGGCTCTCCGGCCTTGGCCTTATTTGGTTAAAAAGCCGTAAGACGGGGCCTAGAAACAGGAGCTGGAGACAATGTGGCCGAGAACCTGCCCCACCCCAGGCCTGAAGTCAAGCTTAACAACCGCTTACGGATTCCTCCTTAAAAGGAGTCTGCAGCTGCTGGGTCCCTGCAGGCCCATCGTCGTCCCTCCTCCATCCAGCTCTGCGCTCTGCCCTTTGCTGCTGTCCTCTGTGATGCGCTCCTTGTGGAATCTCCCCCGTCCAGGCTCTCCTGTCTCCAACCACAGCTCCTGAGCCTGCCTGCTCCTGCCTGGGCCCTCTAACCCGCAGTCAGACTTTTTCATCTGCCCCAGGCACCACAGCTAAGAGAAACCTTCCTGTCATTTTCCTGGCATCCCCATTGCCTCTCTCAAGAGCCCGCTTTTCTCACGGGATGCTCTCCCAGGCCTCCTCTCCCTGCCTCTCCCATTCCCAACAGTGGCCACACTGTTGTCTCCCCTCTCCCGTCCGTTCTCACGGACTCCCCTATATATCCTCCAAATCTCCCAGCCCTCGGCAAAGGGGCAAGATGGGTACTGAGGAAGCCGTGGTGGAGGATGAAGTGGGTAGGGTGAGCTGTGTGCCCTGGTTTGTGGAGGGAGCCAGGCAGGTCCTCCCTCTTACCTGAGTGGGACAGATGATGGGGATCTCCGCTCTCAGGTCCAGGGTCTCTGTTTTGCTTCCAAGTGGTTCAAGCTGATCAGGGAAGAAAAGAGAAACACGGGTGTAGTAATTTGTTTCCGTGGAAGTGAACATTCCCTGGCAGCATCCTGCGGTGGGGAAAGCTCAGAACTTGCTTCCGGGGGGCTTGGCTCTCGCTTCTGGCTCTGCCAGTTGCCAGCCGTGGGGTTTTGGGCCAGTTGCTTAGCTTCTCGGGGAGTAGCTTCCTTGGAAACTCATAATGCTTTTCTAGCAGGGATGTGGAAAGGCTTAAATGAGATAACATGGCTTAACCTGCCTAACATGATGGCTAGCACACAGGGAGAGTTGACTGAATGTGGGGTTTTTGCCTTGCCTTTCTGTGGAGAGGTTCTTCATCAGAGTTTAAAGCTCTGAGGAGAGGGTGCCGTTGAACTTCACATTCCCAACTGCACAGACGTCTACACATGTGCCAGCCACTGCCCCCTCAGCCTCACTTGTAGGCTCCATTCTATAGGGCTGGTGCTCTGCCCTAGACTAGAACCCCAGGAAACAAGGGACACCCCACGTATTTTACCATATTTGCCCAAAGGGCTCTGGAGAGCTGGGAGTGAAATTTCTGACTTGGGTGGATGCAGTCTGGGGCGAAGAAGGACGTGTCCGGGAGCCCATTCTGAAAGAGACCGAGATACCCCCTCAAGATCCTGTGGGTTCAGAGGGAGCTGCTGCCAGCAGGCCTGGCCCCTGCACTGCCCACTCAACGCCTTCTTCCCCTGGGAGTGCTCCAGGTCACTGGCCCCTACAGCACCCACTCACCTTAAGAGAGAGGTCAGAGCAATCCCACAAAGAATAGTTTTGAGTGACCCCCAACCCCCAACCTTCCTTTTTGACCCTACAATTGCCCCTTACTTGATTAGAAAAGCGTCATAGTTATTTTTAGTCACATTCATATAATGCCCGAGGCCATGCTGTGGATGAAGGAGTGGGATCCTGGTTCCAGGGAGAGTCTTGGCTGGCCAGCTGGGGAAAGCTACTTCCCAGCTTTTGGTCTGCTGGTCCTGGTGGTCTTGGTAGGGAGAAGGGAGCAAAGCCTTGGGGAAAGCCTGTTTAGCTGGGTGCCCTGACTCCAGCCTCTTCGTCTGGAGGTGCTGGGGGTGCATAGAGCTGCTGTCCTTCCAGTTTTCCCTCCTATTAGGCGAGGCTCTTGGGATGGCGGCCCAGGGAAACAGACCTCAGTCCTTACCTGGCCCAGTCACAGATCTCTTCTGCCCTGGGTGGACACAGAGAATCCCCAGAATGCTCCCTTAGAGCTGCAGTGTTGCACACAAGAGAGACCACGTGCATGGCAGCAGACTAATCATCTGCAGCTGACCGTGTTCATGTCGGCCTCCCTGCCCCTTATTTCCTAAGTATCTTAGGAAGGACGCTTCACATCTCTGCCCCTCTGTTCCATGCGGATGATCACGCTCATCTCCAAAGGCAGGGGTGGCAATTTTTTCTGTGGGGAGCACAGTGCCTGGCACTAGTAGGTGCTCAGCAGAGCGGAGGCTGTTACAGGAGTCACAGGAGCCTTGCACAGAAGGATGCCACTTAGGTGTTCAGGGAGCCTGCACCTGCCAACACGGCCTCTGAAGACCTGGGTCTTTCCCATTTTCTACACATGCTCATGGAAGCACCTGGCATTTCTGCCTTGAATTTCCTCCTCTAAGAGAGCGCCATGGGTGAGAGCAGGGGACATACCGCCAGGACGGGAAGCTGGATGCTGCGGAAGAAGGGCTGCAGCACCACGGAGAAGTCCTCTCGCGTGTCATAGCGGCCTGACTCCACCAGCTCGCGCATGCTGCTCTGGGGACACACACAGGCTCTTCAGCACAGGCTCTGGGTGGGCCCAATGCCCACTGAGGCCAGAGCAGGGGTGGCAGGCAGCCCATCTCCCTGGATGGAGAGGCTGACTCAGCCCGTCCCTTGAGAACACAAACGCGCCTGACGGCAAGTCCCTTTCCAGAGAATTTGGAAACAGGTTGGGTCACCTATCTGTTTTGGTTGTAAGTGGACTGCTATCTCTAAAGGGCTAGGCAGGAAGTCCCAAAAGGGATAAAAACCTGGGAAGAACCTCCAGAAGCTTGGGACCTGCCTTTGGAGTGGGAGCGTGGGAGAGCGAAAGGTGGTCTCGTGGGGCATCCTGGCTACGGCCAGGAGTTGGGGTGAAGCCCTCAAGGGTAGCTGGGCCATGCGGGCTTTTCCACCTGGATCCTACTGGGATGATTCCAACCAGGATGCTTGGTTGGAATCATCCACAGTCACATGAGACAGAGAAAGGGACCCGGGGCACTCCCTGTGTCCCCGCAAACCCTGACCAGCTCTTCCTTCTCTGTGTGCCTCTCTGCTGGTGGGTCTGGGGTATGCGAAGGAGTGAGCATGGGAGAGAGGACACAGGATGGTGCCTTTCTCTGTCTTACCTGGTAGGCTTGGGTGAAGGCCTCCAGCCTGGTCAGCTCTTGGGAGTTCTCCCTCACGGTCAGAACACAGTTACACAAAACGCTGCACAAAGAGGGGAAGGCACGAGGCCCCAGAGCCCAGGCTTCTATCAGGGGCTGGTTCTGACTGCCTGGGTGCAGGGGTAGGGTGGACAGGCTCCCTCCCGCCCTGGATTAGGAGCACTCAAGCCTTGAGGCTCTGGTGCACGTGCTCAGGGGCAAGCGTCAGGCCTGACATGTGCACTGGAGAAGGCCCAGGGGAGGGAGCCTGTGTGGGAATGAGCACCCTCTCATATGAGCAGAGCACAAGCGTTGGGCTGCAGGTGCTGGGGTTGCAACCGATGATTCAGCTGAGCAAATGAATTTGGGTGAAAATTTAGTGTTTAATTAAAAAGAAAATGCATGCTCTGGTATTGGAGCTGGTATTTTGGGACCTCTGATGCTCACACCCTCAGATCTCTCCTTCATTCGCATGAGTGCCCTACTGTGTCCCCTTTGGTTTTATTTATTGTGAATTATTTCACACCCATAAAATGTACTTAATGTTAAAAGACATCCTTTTTTTTTTTTTTTTTTTTTTTTTTTTTAGACAGAGTCACTCTGCCGCCCAGGCTGGAGTGCAGTGGTGTGGTCTTGGCTCACTGCAACCTCTGCCTTCCAAGTTCAAGCGATTCTCCTGCCTCAGTCTCCCAAGTAGCTAGGATTACAGGCACGTACCACCATGCTCAGCTAATTTTTGTATTTTTAGTAGAGACGAGGTTTCACCATGTTGGCCAGGCTGGTCTTGAACTCTTAACCTCACGTGATCTGCCCAACTTGGCCTCCCGAAATGCTGGGATTACAGGCGTGAGCCACCACGCCCAGCTTAAAAGAGAGATTTCTAAAGCACTTGGAACAATGCCTGGCACACAGGAAGTTCTATGAGATTTGCTAAGTAAATAGATGCATAAGATACAAAGAATGAGAAAACACACAACTTTAATTTAAAGTTCCTTGTGTCCATTCTAATTCTCTTCTTCCCCTAAAGGTAACTGAGTAGTCCATACCTTTTCCTTGCTTTCTGTTATAGTTTGACCACATAGGTCTACGTCCCTAACCACCACTGCCCAAGTTCACAGCCCGGGCTAGCCTGTCTCTCCAACATGAGCCTCTGTCCCAACTTTGATCTCTCCCCTCTGTGGCTCCCTGGTATCACAGACGTTCCTGCTGGGCACCCGAGGTGGGGTAACAGGGGAGTCATGGCTCCAGCCTCCCAGAAGGGGATCATTCTGGTACAAGTCCTCTTTTGCAGACTTGGATACATGGACAGAGAAAGTCACCAAGACCCTGAGGCATCACTGCTACACATGGGCCAGACCAGGAGGTGAGGGCGTCTCCAGCCTGGGGACAGCCAGGACCTGCCTACCTGGCCCACTGTACTGGGCACTTGTCTGGGTTTTTCAGGAACACCTGCCGCATGACACTGGGGTTCAGGAAGTCCACGAGGTTGACTAGGGCTCTGGGCACCTAAGAGAAAAGCTACAGATGAGAGGGGGGCTCTGGGGTCTTCTTCCTGGGGCTGTTTCAGGGCCCTGAGGAATGGGGTCCTTTAGCAATCCAGCTTGTTCTTTCTGGAGTTGAGTTCTGGGGAGGAGTCTATACAGGGCTACCTCATAGGGCCTTCCAGGCCATACATCACACAACTCCACCGGTGCCACCCAAAGGGGCTGCAGCAGCAATGACACCCCCTGGAGTGGGCTAAGAGATCATCCCTGGTCGACCATCATGTAGTGAGCCCAGATACATTAGCCTTACCTTCAGTGAGATAGGCAACCTGTTCCCTCCAGCCCAACCTGGCCTAACTCTGCTGAGTGGGCATGAGGACTCAGCCCCCCAGGAGAGCATCTGGTGGTCAGAGTGCCCTGTCTCAGGCAGCCAGGAGAGTTTGACCTTGCCAGGGATGGTGGTGGTGGATGGGAATGTGCTTCTGGGTGGAGGACCAGACGGGCTTGCTCTAGACACACCCTGTGGCTCAGAACGCAGGGCCTAGCCTGGGGGCCACCCGGCTGCTACCACTCAAAAAGTCCCATATAGTAGCAGGGAGACATTAGAGGATTCCACCAAGGAATGTCCCAGGTGATGGTGGGGGAACATTAGCCTTCCCTTCTTCAGACCTGAAACCCTTCTGGGCTGATTCCACATAAAATAAGGTTTCCTTGGGGTTAGACCCCAATCTCTGAAAAGGGAAGGAGCCCCTGCCCCTGGCAGTCTTCTTGAGAGGAGGGGGTTCTTCTCCCATTCTCTCCCCCCTCCACCTTCACCCTCACCCTGCTTGAGCTGTCACCAGCTTGCGGGAGCCCCCCACCCACCTCTCTATGCAGGATGTCCAAGGCATTCCGGAGATGGTCAACAAAGTTGGCTGCAGAATACAGGTTCTAGAAAGAGGTAGGAAGGAGAGAGAGGAGGTGTTGGTTAGGGTGCAAGGACAGTGGGACCGTTCTAAACTTCCCTTCTGGCTCCAGCCCGAAGGACGCGTTCCCCTCTGGCCTCCAGCTGTGGCCCGCTCTCCGTTTCAAAATCTGAGTTGAACTGACTACTTGCTTTTGTCAAAGACGGGCCAGTGGGAAGACTGGAACCTTCAGCCATAGCTTTGGTTCAGGAGCAGAAAGTTGACTCCTCCTTCCAACTGCTTAGGGTCTACAGTTTCCTCTTTCTGAATTCTCAGGAGTGATAAGAGAGAGGAGTAGAAATACCACATATTTGCCACCTGCTGCCTCATCACCTGGGACATGGAGATGGTTGGTGCCAAGAACCTGGAGGGTGGTGGGGTAAGAAGTGTGTGTGTGTGTGTGTGTGTGTGTGAGAGAGAGAGAGAGAGAGAGGGAGGGAGGGAGGGAGGGAGGGAGGATGTGTATATGTGCTGACACAGGTGTAGGTGGATAATCCTAGGATTGGTTGTAGGAACTGTTCTCAGAGAAGATCTCCAACACGCAGTGGGCAAGGTTAGGGACAGCAAGTCAGTCTGGACCCAGCCCCTGTTACCGAATCTGTGCAGTAGTCACATAAATCACTGCCTCCGATCAGCACTGTGATAACCTTCCAGTCTTCATGGAAATTGACTCTCTATATGGAGGGAGGAAAAGGCTTGATAATTTCCAACAAGGAAATGAAAATATCCCCGCCCTAGGAAACCCATTCAACCCTCTAAAACATCCTTGCCCACTTGAAATAATGCAATCAGCACCTCTGAACTGAAGGAATTTCAGAGGATTATTTCTAGACCACAGAATCTTAGCAACAGGAGGGGTTTGCAGTGTTACTGTACCCAGCAACACACTTCTCCCCATTGACACAATCTCCTCCATAGGACCTCTGTCGGGGGCTGTCCCACCACTGCTTGAATGCCTCTAAGAACATGGGGCTCACTGCTTTTCATGGCAGACAAACTCCATTTGGGTTAGAAAATTCATGTTTAGGAATAACCGTAAATCTGACTCACAGGGTCTTCTTTCATCTTCTGCAACAGAGCTTGGACTTGGCTCATAAGATCCCTGAGAAAGAGAGAAAACCCATCTGTCTGTTGAGGAACAGTGACCACAGTTTTCCTCCTAGAGCGCCTGAACTAGAAGCTTCGACAGTATTGTCCTCACTGCATGAGCTGTGGACATCCTGAAGCTCAGAGGCCAGGAGCTACTTGCCTCTTCCGGAAAGTTATTACAACAGATAACCATTTGAGAAGCCAATAATGCGTCTGTCCTGCAGCTGCAGTCAAACGTGCTGCCAATTATATTTGTTGCTCATGATCTCCTTTCTGAGACTCCACATGCAAAAGGGCTTTTAGGATTCCATGCTAAGAAAGCATTCATCTCTTCTGGAAGACTAGTGTAGATCCTAAAATTGGACCCATGAAACTTTTAGCCTGCTTCCTCTTTTCACTCTGGCTACTAGGAAGCTGAGTTTGATGCTTCAACATAATAACCGTAAAAATGTCGATATTGACAGAGTTGCTTCCTCTTTGTTTCCTCCAATAGCTGGGATTTCTCTCTCTTACCTGTATGTTATTTTTTCTTTTGTAAACTTATCTAAATGCTTGTTTCAGAAAGAGGTGGAGAGTCACACGTGCTCGCCACGTGCCTGGGTTATAATTTACTGAAGGTGACGAGCCTGGTGGCTCACACCTGTAATCCCAGCACTTTAGGAAGCTGAGGTGGGTGGATTGCTTGTGTCCAGGAGGTTGAGACCACCCTGGCAGCACGGTAAAACCCATCTCTACAAAAAACACAAAAAACTTAGCCAGATATGGTAGCATATGCCTGTAGTCCCAGCTACTAGGGAGGCTAAGGTGGATGGATTGCTTGAGCCTGGGAGGTGAAGGTTACGGTGAATTGAGATCATGCCATGGCACTCCAGCCTAGGTGACAGAGTGAAACCCCCAACTTAACAAAAAAATTGGCCGGGTGCAGTGGCTCACACCTGTAATCTCTGTACTTTCAGAGGCTGGTTGGGAGGATCACTTGAGGTCAGGAGTTTGAGACCCGCCTGGCCAACATGGTGAAACCCTGTCTCTATTAAAAATACAAAAATTAGCTGGGCGTGATGGTAGGAGCCTATAATCCCAGCTACTCGGGAGGCTGAGGCAGGAGAATCACTTGAACCTGGGAGGCGGAGTTTACAGTGAGCAGAGATTGTGCCACTGCGTTCCAGCCTGGGTGATGGAATGAGACTCTGTCTCAAAAAAAAAAAAAAATTATAATTTCTGGAAGGAATAGATTTCAGGCACCTGAGCTCCCCACTTCCACTCGTTCAGGGCCTTGTTATAGACCTGGGTGGGATGGCTCCACAGCAAGGTGACCTCCCAGGACATGGTAGTGGGACTATCTGTCCCCAGCTGTTTCTATTACCAAGAATCTTTCCAGGGTGAGTGAGTGGGTCTGGGGGCCACACCCCTCAACCAGAAAGTGTGGGCCTGAGGAAGAAGATGACGTGTGACAGAGGCTCAGCTGGCTGAGCCAGGAGCCGCACAGAACAAGAAGACGTAGGCTGCTGGGGCCTCCAGAGCCCCTTTGGAGACCCTCCCAGGAGGCTGGGCGTCTCCATTCCGTTTCCTGTTCGCTCCATAATAGGGGTAGGGAGGGGACGTGACTCGTTGCTTCAGATGCCTCGAGGGCCAGAAGGCTTGCCCCATCCATTCGGTTGGCCCTCTCTGATCTTTCTGGGGAATTGCCACTTGTGAAGTTCGGAGGAGAGTGAATCTCTCTAGCACCGCGTGCCTTGGTGAGTTTTAAATCCCGGATAAGGTTAGTCGATTTGTCCAATCATTAGAACATGCTGCACATGAAGGCGAGGCCAGGAGCTGCCCCCGTGGGGGCATCACATCTCTCCAAGGCCACAGGCTCTCTATCCTGTTACGACCTTTGTCACAGGGGCAGCAGGGAAGAGGGTGGCCTGAGCCTCACAAGTGTCCCCTTTGCACAGAGGCCAGTGCTACGATCTTCAAGGGTACCGCGTGCATTCCACTCCCTGCGCTGCAGGCTCCCTCCCTCCCCAAATGCCGTACTCAGCCTTTGCTCCGGGAACAGCTTGATTGAGGAACGCATTCGTGTCATTGGCGTCGCCCGTGCCCATGGCGTAGCCTGTGAGGTCTCTGTTAAACTCCCGAAGGATATCTGGAAGAGGAGAGGGCGAACAGGAGACAGCTCAGAAGAGAAGGCCAGGATAGCTTCTCTGGTCCCTTGGGACCTAGGTCCCCAAAGTGGGCTTCGTTATCATACTCATGCTTCCTGGGGAGAGGCAGGGAGGCCGTGTGTGTACCGGACATAAGCTGGGGCCTCCCTAAGTTGAAATGACCTCATGACCTGATGACTAGGTGGGCCAGGGTGGCAAGAGCTTCTCACTTAAAAAACACACATTTTAAAATATAATTCACAGTCCATTGAAGGGTCACTACCTACTTTGTCTCAGCACCGCCTGGGCCTGTTGGGGAAACCTGAGGCTAAGATTATTGGGTAACTTGCCCTAGGTCACCTGACAGTACCTCGGAGAGCCAGGGCTTGAGCCAGATCTTCAGGCTCTAAATCTGGTGTTTATTCTACCCACTTTGGCTGCTTGTTCATTGCCTCCTGCCTCCTACTTAAATGGTGGGCCGTAAGGGAATGCCATTTGTGCCTTAGCTGGGAGGTACTCTCAGGAATCCAAGGGGCCAGATGGATGGAATGGTAGACAGATTCAAGCCCCTGGTGGCTACTTACTGGGTAAGGTGGTCACATTCGCCAGGGAGCCGTCCCCTCCTGAACTGTAGGGAGTGAGCAGGCCAGCGAATGAGAGGGAGAAAGAGACTGGTTGAATCAATGTAGAAACCTTACAAAAGAGCAGCCCCACTCTTCTCAGTGCCCATCAGCAACTTAGAGATGGGCCAGACCCATCTTTTTGTGTTTGAGAGATTCTGAGAACATTCTGAATTCCCTAACATATTGGTTCCCTACTGAACCCAGGATCTGAAGATGAGAGAGCTGCTTCTTTACCAGGGCAGGAGGGAGAATGCTTAGCTGAGTATATACTATGTGCCCAGACATGCACTAGATTCTCTCTATCTGTTATTCCACATCTCCCAACAAGCCAGTGACGTAGAGGTGACTATGTCCATTTTACCGAGGAAGAAACTGAGGTGCACAGAGGTTACTTAACTTGTTAAAGGTCACTGAAACCCAGCTTGAGCAGGAAACCTTTGGAAAATAGGTAAGCTCTTCTCTGCTCGGCAGTCAGCTAAATTCCGACAGACGGTTCAGAAGGGTGGCCGCTCACTACCTTACTTTTTTTTTTGAGACGGAGTTTCGCTCTTGTTACCCAGGCTGGAGTGCAATGGCGCGATCTCGGCTCACCGCAACCTCCGCCTCCTGGGTTCAGGCAATTCTCCTGCCTCAGCCTCCTGAGTAGCTGGGATTACAGGCACGCGCCACCATGCCCAGCTAATTTTTTGTATTTTTTTTTTTTTTTTTAGTAGAGACGGGGTTTCACCATGTTGACCAGGTTGGTCTCGATCTCTCAACCTCGTGATCCACCCGCCTCGGCCTCCCAAAGTGCTGGGATTACAGGCTTGAGCCACCTGCGCCCGGCCCGCTCACTACCTTTCTATGCCCCATCTAATTTTCATTTAATCTAACTTCAATATACTAAGTATTTTGTTTTCTTTCATGCATTTATTTATAAATTGAGTATGACACACAGGAGATAAGATAATATTTCTATGTTAGCAAAATCTGATATTCACATACATAGTATTTACTGTTTTCTTCTGTGTCTCTTTTTTGAATCCTAGCATGTTATTCCAGGCCAATGGATTTTAAGAACATGGCCTTAGCACTCAGCCCACCAGGAGAGACTTCTAAAGGACTAGGCCATGAGTCCTCATTGTTCTTCATTCAAGGAATGCTTGGAATGAAGTACACTGTTGCATGCCAGCGTGATCAAGGGCTGAAGTCAGCCGCTCTGCAAGCAATCCGGGTGGTGGAGAGAACGCAGATGCCGGAAATCTTGCCCTTCTCCTTCACTCAGTTCTCTCTCCGCACCTTCCCATTAGATGTTGGAGCCTAACTTGCCCAGTGAATGGGCATTCGTATGAGTGTCTGATTCTTTTCCAGCTCTGCATGAAGCTGCTGCTTTGTGATCCTTCTTTCTCCGGACTAAAGGCACCCAATCAGAATATTTTACATTGAAAAAGAAATTATAAGTCTATATACCTCTGCCAATCACTGTGTTCTAATTCTGCCTCCTTCTCTCCTTCAATAAAGATACAGAGATGCAAACACAAACACATCAAGTACTTCCTACTGTAATTTCTTGTTTAAAGATATCTTCATTTTAAAACAAGTATGGTGGCTGATCAAGACCAATAGGCTATGAAAATCTCTCCCTGACTTCATTTTAGAGTGAAAACTTCCAGGAGAAGAAAAGATTATGACAGATGCATACAAAAACGCAAAAAATATTCCAACTCTCATTCTGATCAGAACTATGTGAAACAAGAAAGGAAACAGACCCATATCAAACAGCTAGTCCACCTTAGAGCCTTCAGATGAATATCATTTACGTTACACTATGAGCTCAATGGCTGGGCTCTGGTCATCTGTTGTCACCTAAAGTGTACAGAAAAATAGAGTAGATGCTCAATAACATTTGTTGAAGGAGTTTCAGTCATGTGAGAATAAACCCCTAGTTAATAAAACAAAGGCAGTTTTTGGTAAGCAAATTTTATTTTAGTCCTTTGAATGGTCCCAAACAAGAAAACTTATTTCAATGGAAGAAAAGGCAATGTTCTCAAGACCTCTGGCCCCGCCACATTGTTAAGCTGGCCAAAGCTAGAACTTTTCACTACGGAATCTCACGGGTTAAGGGGCCTTGGAAATATGCACAGCCAAGCCTCTTCTGCAGGAACTGTCCACAGCCACCCCGCTCCCCATGAATTCTGGGTCTACTTCTCCTCTAACCCCATGAGATCCACTCTTTTCACTTTGTTTCCTATGGGGAAGAGGCTCAAATTCCATTCTTGATTGACCTAGTAACATTAATTGCCTAGTTTTTCTGATCTAGAAGCTTTAATGTCTCAAAAATTGCTTTTCTCAGATCAGTCTCCTACACAAACACTTTCCAGGAGATGTTAACAGGTGTTATGAATGAAGAAAAAGTTCTGGAATTAAGGGAAATATTGGATTAAACAGATAAAACTTAAACAGATTTCTGCATTTCAGAGCCTTTAATATGCTAATATGCTCATGAATTCCCCAGAGGAAGGCTACAATGTTTCCCCCTCAAATACAAAGGATTTTCCCTTCTTCAGGAACATGTCTGGAGTTAATAATGTTCCATGGAACACTTGAGACACAATATGTATTCTACCAAGTGTCAAACTGTCTTTCAGACCCTGACCTGGAGCTTCCATCATTTTTTTTGAGATGAAGTTTTGCTCTTGTCACCCAGGCTGGAGGGCAATGGCACGATCTTGGCTCACTGCAACCTCCACCTCCCAGGTTCAAGTGATTCTCCTGCTTCAGCCTCACAGGTATCTGGGATTACAGGCACGTGCCACCATGCCCAACTAATTTTTTGTATTTTTAGGAGAGATGGAATTTTACTATGTTGACCAGTGTGGTCTTGAACTCCTGACCTCAGGTGATCCACCCACCTTGGCCTCCCAAAGTACTGGGATTACAGGTGTGAGCCACCGTGCCTAGCGAGCTTCCATCTTTAACACACATGCATTTGGGAGCAGCTATTTGAAATATTTAGGAGAAATGAAGGGTTTAAAGGGACAGCAGCCATTGAACCTGAGGCCTTAGAACTAGAAAATTGAGACATTAGGCTGTAATGGACTTCACTTGTAGGAAGAAACAGAGCAATGGCTGAATTTTCCCATCTTTGTAGAGAGAAAGTTTTAGTAGAGGTTATTGCCTGTTCATATCTGAATCCCAGGAGCCCGGCTGGTCAATCTGTTTGTAAAGTTGGGCTCATTGCCTCACTTCCCCAGGTTGCCCCACCTGGTGCATGTCACGTATCTGTCACCCGCAATGTGGTTTGTCTACTTTATTTTCGATTTTCCCATGCTGCGGTGTGAGGTCACTGCCTTCTCTAGCTGTGGCCAAGTGCCGCTGCCATGATCTCATGCTCTTTCTTGATTGTAACAAGCTCTGCTCTCTCTCCTCTGGTTTTTCTTTTTCCTGTAGCCTCATTAGAAGCAGAGTGCTGAGTCAGGGAGGCTCTGATTTGTCCATGGCAGCCTGTTAGGACCAGGTCCCTGGCCAAGGACTTGTGGAAACGCAAGGATCTTCGCACAGGAAGACATTGACCTCTGTTCTTGAGGGGTTGATATCCTCACGCTAAGGACACCCTAGGTCCTTGCTGTGGGTGCTACAAGCTGAGTGATGGCACCTTCCTCCCTCCCTGGAAACCCATTCTCTCTGGGACTCTGCTCAGGTCTGGCCAGAGAAGCATCACGATCCTGATCATGCCCTCCCTGCTCCCTGTCACTTCCCCGAGAAGCAAATTCATTCAAAAGAAAAAGTGCGCACGCGCCGCGACACTGCGCAGCACAGCGCGGACTCTTGGCCCCTCTGCACGCGGGAAGGTGGCAGAGCCGGCTACCAAGTCCGCGCTGTTGGGTGTCTGGGTAACATTTGTCGATCACCCATTGCAGAAGCGGTTTTCACTTGTAACTGATCAAAACATCTCAGAGAATTGGAGGGTAGACAGCGCGGCGACTTCCGAGTATGAGGGCGGGAACCCCCCTGACTACCGAAGAGGCACGGCATTCTCATGAACCACGTTGCCCGGAAGATTACCAAAGAAGATGTTGCCACATTTGATTATATACTATGTATGGATGAGAGCAATCTGAGAGATTTGAATAGAAAAAGTAATCGAGTCAAAACCTGCAGAGCTAGGGAAAAAACAAAACAAACCAAACAAAACAAAACAAAACAAAACAAAACAAAAACAAAAAAACCCTGCAGAGCTAAAATTGAACTACTTAGGAGCTATGATCCACAAATACAACTTACTGTTGAAGATCCCTATTATGGGAATGACTCTGACTTTGAGGCTGTGTGCCAGCAGTGTGTCAGGTGCTGCAGCGCGTTCTTGGGGAAGGCCCACTGAGGCACGTTCCTGCCCTGCTGCGGCCAGCCTGACCAGACCCCACCCTGAGGGCCTGCATCTCTCATTGTGTAATAACGTTCCAGGGCCCAGGGCCCAGGGCCCCAGCTCTTTGTTCATTTAACTGTTTCTTACCTTAAAAAAAAAATTGTAGATGGAAATCAGTTGTGTTTGGCAGAAGAATAAATAAAAATCTTTGATTCAGACAGTTAAAAGAAAAAAAAGGGAGGCGGCAGCAAAGGTGTTCTGGCTCCACCGCTCATTAGCACGCTGCCCCCTCGTGGCCAGCTTCATTCTAGTTGTTTTCCCAGGTAAATTCTGAGCTACTGGCCGCTTACTTTGAGAATGAGAACTTTATTAGGAAAGAAAGAAATTTGAGAATACCCACTGGCAACTGCTCGCCTGGCACACCCTGACCTTCTCCACTTGTGTATTCGGGATGCCCTTTCTCACCCTCTCCTCTTGTCTATTTGCTAATCTTTCAAGGCGTGGCTGGTTGTGACTGTGTCTTGGTTATGCCCTCTTGAAGTGTGCATTGGGTTTGACCGTTTTCTGTGCAGATGCGTACATGTATGTAAAGGCAGCCATGTGACTACAAGACAACATGAATAAACACATAAGACGGTAAACAGAGACGTGGGAACACCACGTGTACACGTATACATGCAAGCGGGCAGGTGAAGATTCAGGGATTTGGTGCTTTTCTGGTGCATTTCATGTTGGATTTGCTGACTCTGGAGTCTGATAAGAACCCTGGTTTACTACTTTCTCTGTACAATAAAAAAAAAAAAAAGAAAAGATTATCAACAGTAAAATATCCTCTCCGCTCACCCAATATTCACATTTTGCAGAAATACATAGGTTTTTCTTTCTGAAAGCCCCTTCCAGACCAAGTCTCTGACCTCTGGGATTCACATATTTATAGGAGACAAAGCCACATCCACTCTCTGTTGTGGGAGGAGCCCTGAGAGAGGTCGAAGGTTAACATTACCTGTATGACAGTCCCCGATACTGTGTGGTGACATCGGAGAGGTCGTCCGCTTTGGAGCCAATTCCGTTGCCAGCCTTTGAAAACATACCAGAGTCCACAGGAAATTAGCGAGTCAGAGAACAGGGAGGCTATGACCGTGCAGGGCTTCCATAGACGGCTTCCCTATGCACTCAAGTGGTGGGAGCAGACACCGGACCAGGAGCCCCGGCTCTAAGTCTCCATCCTCCTTCCTGGCTGTGTGCCTTCCCCAACTCTCAGCTGCCTCCTCACCAAGCTGAGGGCAGGCCCTGCTCATCTCACAGGCGGCGTTTTGAGAACCAAATTGGATTACAGTGGTAAAAACCACTTTGAAAACTCTCAAGTGCTTTACAAACGTGAGAGAGTGTTAATAATACCGTTCCCAGCGTTATGCCACTAAGTTCTTTAACAGCGTGATGAGAGAGCTCATTGACTTAAGCGACTGCGGTGATTTCTCCTAAGCCTCACATTTCTCCTCATTCCCTCTGGGGCATACCATAAAGTATTCTCAAGGCCTTAGATGTGCTGCTGGAAATGATGATTGGGGATAGTAAAATAGCTCCTTTTCTTGGAAGTTAGGAGCAGAGCTTTATCCACAACTAAGGAGTTCTTGCTGCTTTCCGTGCAGATGCAAAGAGGAAACAGATGTGAGGTCTCAGCTGATTATAAAGCATAATCCAAAGGAAAAAGAGCACCCACACAAGGAGGTTTAGAAGAATCTTGAGTCAAAAATCACATAGTTTTTACATACATTTAAAAAGTGTTGGCCGGGCGCGGTGGCTCAAGCCTGTAATCCCAGCACTTTGGGAGGCCGAGGCGGGTGGATCACGAGGTCAAGAGATCGAGACCATCCTGGTCAACATGGTGAAACCCCGTCTCTACTAAAAATACAAAAAAATTAGCTGGGCATGGTGGCACATGCCTGTAATCTCAGCTACTCAGGAGGCTGAGGCAGGAGAATTGCCTGAACCCAGGAGGCGGAGGTTGCGGTGAGCCAAGATCGTACCATTGCACTCCAGCCAGCCTGGGTAACAAGAGCGAAACTCCATCTCCAAAAAAAAAAAAAAAAAAAAAAAAAAAAAAAAAAAAAAAAAAAGTGTTATTGGGTATTCAAAACCTCTGCCCTCTGAGACAATTCAGCTCAGTCCCAAAAAAGATTTCCTCTGCACAACTGTCTGAGAAGGTGGCCACAAATCAAGTCATTGGCATGCTCTTGGATTGACAAAGCCAGGTAGAGGGGTAAAATAAGAGATAAGAGGAGAGGCATGCTGGCCCTTAAGAGGACTGGGACCTGGAGCTGTCCTAGGTATCCCCAAACCACCCAGGGCCCAAGAGTCCTTACGGTCAGAGAATCCCCCAGAGCAGCCACAACTTGGATGTCTGCAGGTCTCAGGGCATGCACTGGAAAGAAGCGGACACACTCAGGGCTGCAGGAAGGAAGCTGCACTTCAGTCTAGTGCCTCTGGCTTCAGGCAAGATCTGAAATGCAATCTGCACATGCACTGGGCCATGCAGGGCTGGGTGTGCACAGTACCACGGAGGAGGAAGTTATATGAGAACAATTTTCCCTTAAGGCACAACAAATTCTGGACCTACAGGGAAAGAGAGATGCAGAGAGGGAGAAGAAGAGGAAAAGGGGAGAAAGGGAGAAGGTGAGGGGAAAGGGAAAAGGAAGGAGGGAAGGAAGGAGGGAAAGGCGGGAGGGAGGGGAGTCGTGGGAGATGCCAGCCATGGCCTGAGTGCACAACTGGACGGGCATCAAACCATGTAAGACGAAGTGCAGGACCTGACGTGCAGCCCTTTCAGCGGTGGGGTCTGAATTTTCCACCAAGAGTCTGAGAATAATCATGTTGGGCCTTTCTCTGCCCCCAGATCTCTTCCGAAGAGCCTAGGGAAACTTCCAGGCCCTACTGTAGGCTGCAGTGATTGCAGAGCCTGGGGCCACGGAGCCAGCTTCCTCTGGGGAATCGGGCCCACCTCTGGGCTGAGTCACCAAAGGGTGTGCTCACAGGGCTCCTCTGCCTGTGCTCCCTCTAAGAGGCAGAAGCAGGTGGGCAGGAGACAGCTTCTGGCCCTAGGTGCCTTGGTGCCTGCTGAGCATGGTGTCACCACCAGCTAGAGTGGCGCAAAACAGGGACTCATCCCAGGTAACCACCCAGACAGGCGGCAAACACTGGCCGTCACTGTGCCATGGAGTGAGTGTGAAAAGTCAGGTGAGAGGACTCACAGGCCCAGAAGCCCCTGTGGAGGGGTCTGGGTCCTGCCTGACATAGGGGGCTTACCTGAGGTCGGGGGTGAGGCAGAAGGGGCTCTGTCCCTGCATGGCAGCCAGCTCCCATGACCCTAAGGGCACAGAACGAATACCAGAAGCTCAGGGTTGAAAGGGACCAGAAAAACTGGCTATCAGATGTATCCCAAGAGCTTCGAAAAACACAGATTCCTGGCTGGGCGCAGTGGTTCAAGTCTGTAATCCCAGCACTTTGGGAGGCTGAGGCAGGTGGATCACCTGAGGTCAGCAGTTTGAGACCAGCCTGACCAACATGGAGAAAGCCCGTCTCTACTAAAAATATAAAAAATCAGCCAGGTGTGGTGGCACATGCCCGTAATCCCAGCTACCTGGAGGCTGAGGTAGGAGAATCGCTTGAACCTGGGAGGCGGAGGTTGTGGTGAGCTGAGATTGCACCATTGCACTCCAGCCTGGGCAACAAGAGCAAAACTCCATCTCAAAAAAAAAAAAAAAAAAAAAGAAGAAAGAAAGAAAAGAAAAATACAGATTTCTGATTCCTGGGTCCTACTCCTGGAGTGAGGGAAGCCTCAAACAGGCTTTGGAAGAAGCCTCCCTAGGTAATCTTGCCTATCAGCCAGGTCGACGTCCACTCATCGAGTTTAGACCCCTTCACCATCCAGTGCAAGACTCAGGGCAGAAACAAATGACCCCACCTCACACCAGCCCCTGCTTCTGCACCAGCTTTACGAGGAAGAGGGTTTCTCTTCACGTACGTTTCGGTAAAGCTGTGACTGGGTTGGCTGGATGCCTTCCAGCTGCTATCCACGGCATTTGCCCTACCCGCTAGTCCATCTGAAGGTCAGGTGGGTGGCCTTTATGGCCATCTGGAACTCTTGCCTGCTTTCCCACCCCGCCCTGTTGGGCCTGGCCCAGCCCAGGGGTTGCCCATTCCATTGCCGGGTGAGCCAAGAGGAAGCAAGACGCAGGTACCTGCATGCTGTTCTTGTAGGTCTTCAGAAACGGCTGGACCTGTGGGAGACGGGGTAAGCCACAGCAGCGAATTCGGCTTGCTGCTCTGCTTGCCAGCACTCAGTAAGTGTCGGCCTGGCATCAACAGCTGCAGCTTCTCTGTCCCGTATCCCAAGCCTGGCCTCTCTCTGCCAGGGTGACTCCCTCCCGGGATGTAGGGGGGCCTTTTCTCTGTAACCTGAACCCAGCGCAAAGAATGAGCATAAACTCGCGCTTCCGGGAATGTGCGTGCCTTCCTCCACCTCCCGCGTGGCTGGCTGAGGATGCCTATGTGGCCTCTCTTTTTCCACCCTGCCCTCTTTTAACCATGCTCCTCTTTCTGCTGGAAAAAGCCCCTGTCTCTGCTTCCCGGGCTCCCTTGCCACTCCATGCGTTCCCCACCCTGCAGTGGCCAGGGCGCCTTCCTGCCCAGGCAAGAAAAGTCAGATGATCTTGGTCCTGTCTCACATAAGCCCTGTACAGCGGTTCCCAGTGTCAGCCTAGGAGCCCTCTGGGTTGACAGAGGAATTCTTGGGGGCAGCCGCTGCAGAGCTCCAAGAAGGTCTTTCTGAGAACTTGTGAGTAAAAATGTACGGCTTGTTCTGCTTTTCCCTCCCTAGCTCCCCAGCTTCCAATTTACACCCCCCATCCCCCCCACCACCTAGCTATCCTTCTAGGTCTCCGGTTCCTCGCTCTGCTCCTCTGCCATAGAGGCAGGGGCTATATGAAGACAAGGAATCCTTCTGCCCCGTCTGCCTGTGCAGTTCTCCGCTGCCCCCAGTTTTCAGAATGACAGGTAGATGTGGCTGCCATGCTCATCTCGCTGCCCCAAAGAGTCGTTTCCAGCCTAGACATGTGTGAGTGCTCCCGGCCACGCAGAGATCAAGTGCTCGTCCCTCTCAGTACAACCAGATGGGGCATTTGGGGCAGTTAACCCTGGAGTATAAAGTGGGTGGGTGGGCAGGCAGAGCTGGGGTTGAGGGTGAGGGCCTGGGATGAAATGAACCGAGAAGCCCAGTGGGAGCCGGGGCCTGGAAGGATGCGCTTTCCACTCTACCTGGTTCGGACACGTGATATTGATCTGGTTCTCAAAGTTATGATATGTCGTCTTCTGGCCAACAGGTTCCAGCTAAATCAAGAAGCAGGGAGATGGGGAGTGAGGAAGAGGTGGCCAGATGGAAAGCTCAGGATGCAGGTCAGGGGTACGGGAGGCAGGGAAGGACGAAGGAGATGGGGTTTATTTATCATTGCTGTGCACAGAATCACATGGCCTGCATGATGGGCCTCCTAGGTCCTTCAAAGGCTTTTGAGTCTTTTTCTTACCAGAGGGAGGATGTATTTTCCTCGCAGCCACCTTACCATGTTGTTCCAGAGGGCACTGCCTGCGTGGGCGTGAGACTTGCTGCTGAAGTGGAAACAGTCAGGAGCGAAGAAAGAGTTGTCAGGCAATCCCTCCTGCTCACCAGGCAGAAAAAGAGAGGCCGTTATAGACACACTGGATCATGTAAATGACACTCAGAAAGAGTCACACACTCTCTGCGGATTCTGTTTATCCACGATGCTTGCTTTCTTTACCGAGGTCTTTGGCATGTCCACGTTTTCAAAGAACGGTTGCACAACCACTGTAAAATCTTCCCTTGTGTCGTATCGGCCGCTCTCAATCAGTTGGTGGGTCCCCACCTGCAGGAGGAAAAGGCGACGGAGGTCAGGCGGTCCTCTGTGCATCTGCTCAGTCCTTGATCGATCTCTTTCCCCAACACAGAACTAAACAGAATCTGACTGTTGAGTGAAATCAACCCGGAGCAAAATTGCAACTGAGATTTTACATTTTAGATCAGCCTTTATCTTAACCCCTGGCCCCAAACTCTGCTGCGATTGCATCTATTTGAACTAGGCTGTGAAAGAGGATAGATAAGAAAAGTCTATCAGCTGGAATTTTTTTTTTTTTTCCCCCGAGACGGAGTTTTGCTCTTGTTGCCCAGGCTGGAATGCAACGGCGCCATCTTGGCTCACTGCAACTTCCACCTCCCAGGTTCAAGCGATTCTCCTGCCTCAGCCTCCTGAATAGCTGGGATTTCAGGCATGTGCCACCACGCCCAGCTAATTTTGTATTTTTAGTAGAGACGGGGTTTCTCCATGTTAGTCTGGCTGGTATTAAACTCCCGACCTCAGGTGATCCGCCCACCTTGGGGGATCACTTGTAATCCCAAAGTGCTGGGATTACAGGTGTGAGCTACCGTGTCCAGCCAGCTTGACTTCTTTTAAAGCTATTTTGACTAAAGATTTCAGGGGTGGTTTTTAGTTAAATGACATTTTGAATAATCCAAACAATTTATTTCTGTCCTACATTTGTCCAGGAAAATCAAAGGTGCATCGAAATTGAATGTATATTTATATTGCCAGTGCAGGGTGTGTCCGTGCTTGCGGCTCTCAGATCTGTGTAACTCTCACAACTTCTGCTTGGGGTCACTTCTAGAAAAACCTGTTACCCCAGTTCTGGCTCCCACTGTAGGCTGACTCAGCCATTCCACTGCTCACCAGGGTTTCTGCCACCTGGGGCCATTACTCTGGCTGGAGAGGGAAGTCAGGCTTACATACCTGGGAACATTAATGGGGTCACTTCAGAAAATACCACACACTGTCTTTTCCCAGGGTCAAATTCCCAAGCCAGTGTCTGCCTTGAGTAAGGCAGAGAAGGTAGTCTCTCAGAAGGGAAGGAAGTGAGGGACTGCGAACTAGCAGTGTGACCTCCGGCACGGTGCTTCCCTTTTCTGTTTCCCCTTTAGTAAATGGAGGATGTTGGGTGAGTCCTGGGCCATCTCTTAAATCCCTTCCAGTGCTACCGGTTACTTTGGGGATAGCCAGATGGGCTCACAGTGGAACCACACACCTTTTGGCAGTGGAAATAAATAGTGTGTAGAGTCCCTGGCACATGGCCAGTGGTAAGTAACTGACTGTGGTTATTGATAAGAACGGTCATCTCCAGGGAGAGTGATGAGAGCCGTAGCTTTTGTGGGAAGTAGGGTGTGAGATGATTCTCAGAGAGGGCGTAACGGCCACACATGGCTGGCATGTGGGATCTCCAAAACACTAGATCAGGCAGGGCCTCAGTGGTGGGCAGGATCAGCCATGGGAACCACTGGCCTGTCTGCAGAGGCTGGGAAGGTGATGTCGGTGAATCTTTCTCCTCCGTTTTGGCTGCTCAGCATCTGAACCCACTTCCAAGTCTGAAGACCCTGCTGCACAGGGAGCAGCCTGCCTCCCACTGTGGAGGCTGAAAAAGACAATGGCTGCTTTCCCAACCCTGCCTGCAGCCAGGGCGTGGGTACGAGACTGAGGCTTCACCAATCATTGCCTGTGTCGGGGATGGCAAAGCACCCATTCTGCTGAAGGTGGCAGCTGCATCCAGTTCCTAGAAACGGCAGTGACATTGGAGTCTGTGATGTCTTCCCTGGACCAGGTCTGTGGCCTGATTTTGATTCTTTTTTTTTTGCGGGGGGGACAAAGTCTCACTATATTGCCCAGGCTGGAATGCAATGGTGCAATCTTGGCTCACTGCAGCCTCTGCTTTCTGGGCTCAAGTGATCCTCCTACCTCAGCCTCCTAAGTAGCTGAGACTACAGTTGTGTGCTACCATGCCTGGCTAATTTTTGTATTTTTTGCAGGGTTTCACTAGTTGGCCAGGCTGGTCTTGAACTCCTAACCTCAAGTGATCCATCTGCCTCAGCCTCCCAAAGTGCTGGGATTATAGGCATGAGCCACCACACCCAGCCCTGATTTTGATTCTTATGAGTTGGCCCCTAGAATTTCATCATTCCATGATTCCTGATAGCTAGCTCTCTATCAGGAGACCCTAGCTCTCTAGTTCTGCCAGAGATTCTGTGTAAATATTAAATCTGCTTAAATTAGCTGGAAACTCCATGAACTTTGGTTGTGTGTACCAAATAACCCCAATTGAAACGGGATTGCTCTCACGGCCATAACCTCAGCTGCCTTCCCTGTTCTGGTGTGGCTGGGGGACTTCCTCCCTAGTTACAGGTGCCTGCTCACAGCAGAAAGAAGTTCAGCTGGGCACAGTGGCTCACGTCTGCAATCCCAGCACTTTGGGAGGCTGAGGTGGGTGGATTGCTTGTGTGCAGGAGTCCAAAACCAGCCTGGGCAATATAGTGAAACCCTGTATCTACTAAAAATACAAAAAGTAGCTGGGCGTGGTAGCACACACCTGTAGTCCCAGCTACTTGGGAGACTGAGGCTGGAGGATAGCTTGAGCTTTGGAGATCAAGTCTGCAGTGAGCCAAGATTGTGCCACTGCACTCCAGCCTGGGTGACAAAGTGAGACCCTATCTCATTATAAATAAATTAAATAAAGGAAGTTCAGCTGGGGAGTCATCCTGAGTGCTAGGTGGTGGTCACAGAGGATAATAAATACAGGTTCATTTCCCTGCACCCTGATATACCTGGCAGATATAGCTGCCCCCAAAAGGGTCTGCAGGGAAGTGGTGCTGCCCCCATGGAGTCCATGGACTCCTTGAAGGATGGATCTACTCTGGCAGCTGTTTGCAGCCTAGTCTGGAAGAAAGGCCTACCACTGTCCTCTCCGAGTGACTGGACAATTTTTTTTCTTTTGTGGGGGAGAAACTCACGATCATTAAGGGAGTCTGTTGTTACGGTCAAAGATGTGGTAGAGAAAGGGCTAAAATGAACCACCCACAAGATGGAGATCATCTCCCGACTTCCGTTCTCCTTGTGTTCCCCAAGGACGTCTGCTCTATCGAAGGGGAGGGCAGAGGGAATGCACCTCATCTCACTGAACCCTGGAGACCCTTTAGGGAGGGAGGTGTTTCAGCATCTCTTTCCCACCCAGGCACTGGAAGCTCGGAGAATTTTCACTGCCCATGTGTCTAATGTTCCACAACCAGTGAGCAGAGTCAGGGTTTGGATCCGGATAGAAGTTTCCACTCTGAAACCTCTTTCCATGATCCATGTTCATCTATGAACAAGTGGAAACATTCATTTCATGTAAAGACCAGGAACTGAGGTTCGGTGGCACGTTCAGGCACTTGGCTCTGTGGCACAAGTCCAGCAAACTTGCTGTCTCAGGGTATGTTTTAAAATCAGCAAACTAGTCCATGGTCATTGCCCATACAGGGTCAAAATTACCTAAGCATTGACTTGTTCTCTAGACAGAGCAATCAAATCACACAGCAGTTCTGGGAAGTCTTAGAACCCCTTCCCCACTTACCTGAAACTTCTTGTTGAATTCGATGAGCATGGCAAGTTCTGTTGAGTTATCATCAAACTTCAGGACGCAGGGACACAGAGACCTGCGGATCAAACCAAAGAGAAACCCTCACCCACCAAGATCACCATCCTGAATCAGTGATGTAGAAATGTTGCTTTGAGACTCAATATATTTCTTTTAACTTGGAGTTCAGAGAGCTGTGCTAATGAAGAGTCTGGCTGTCTGGCCTGCTGACCATACGAAATGAAGCTAAAGAAAATATCCAGGCCAGATGCAGTGGCTCACGTTTGTAATCCCAGCACTTTGGGAGGCCAAGGAGGGCAGATCACTTTGAGGTCAGGAGTTCGAGACCAGGCTGGCTGACATGGTGAAACCCTGTCTCTATGAAAAAGATGAAAAAGTTAGCCAGGTGTGGTGGTGCATGCCTGTGGTCCCAGCCACTTGGGAAGCTGAGGCATGAGAATCACTTGAACCTGGGAGGTGGAGGTTGCAGTGAGCGGAGATTGTGCCACTACACTCCAACCTGGGTGACTCAAGAAAAAAAGAGAAAAAAAAAGAAAAAAAAATTTTCCTAGACCCGGATTTGCTCTTGAAAATGAAATAGACTTCTTCTGATATCTGTAGGAGTGACCTTTATGGAGCCGAGTTACCTTGTGGCTGTCTGTGTGGATGAGGCATACTACCTTCTACATAATATCAGTGACAACAATAATTGCTAAGATACACTGATTTGAATTTGTCTTAGCAATTATTGAATAATTAACAGTGACTACTGTACCAAGCACTGCAATAACTACTTTATGGGTATTGACCTGTTGAGTCCTCCCAGCCATTGTAGAAGTGGTATTCTTATTAACCGTGTTTCAGAGATGAGAAACCGAGGCTCAGAGGGGTTGAGTAACTTTCTCAAAGTCACATGGATGCTGAATGTAGAAGCCAGGACTTGAACTCAAGTCTGTCTGGCTCTGAACCTGAGCTCTGAACTTCTATCTTAACTCTCTGTATCAAACTGCTTCCATCCAGTCTGCAGCTCTGACCTGGCCAGCTATCTGGCACTTCTGGGCTTTTGGTCCAGGGGCATGAGGTGATAAGAGCAGGGATGGCTCCACGTAGACTCAGCACTGCAGAGAAAAGTACAGCCACCTGATGGGACAGTGGAGGGGCGGGGAGTCCAGAGCACTGCAGCGGTGGCAGAACAACGTGACCTGAGTCTCTCCAACCTTGACATTCAGTGACTTGGCCACCTCGGATCTGTGAACGGACCTGGCAAATGCCTATACTGAACCTTTAGTTTGAATGGTCTAAAAAACCCTGCCGGGATGGGTAACAAGAGGCTTTCTGATAAGCTGCTCTGAAATGGAGTGAAGACACGATCCCCCGTGTGGCCCAGTGACTGGAGTAAGTGGGAGCCAGGGGATGAGTCAGCAGTTGGAAATAGCATGCCTGACACCAGCAGCATTCATAAGCACGTGTCACCCAGCAGCCATCCTCTCTGCTCACAGCACCGTGACGCCTTCTCCAGGGGACCCGTGTAGTTTGGGTCCCCCAGGTGAGGCTTGGCATGGATCTACAGAGGAGCAGCCAAGATACCCCTTAACTTCCAAGAGTGAGTCTGGCCCTTGTGAATTATTCAGTCATTCAGCAAACAGCAGCTGAGCCCCTACACCACGCTAGCAGTGACTCAGACTCGGTTCACAGGCTGTGGGAGGGAGGCACATGAATAATTACCATGTGATGTGCTCAGGTCTGGGGTGGGGACCTGTACAGAGTGACATAACTCGGGGTGCAGGGCAGGGGAGCACAGCCTCAGTGACCTTGGCTAACAGTCCAGAGGAGAACTTGTAGGAAGGAAGGCTGCAGGAAACGTTCATGCTTCACTTAGAAGAACGTCTTATTCCTGAGGGTCCTGGAGATGTGTCATACAGGCTGGGTCTCCCTTATCTGAAATCCTTTCAGCCAGAAGCATTGCAAATTTCAGATTTTTTTGGATTTTGGAATATTTGCATTACCCTATGACTATCATTTTCAGCCACATCTTTACGACACGGAGAATGAGCAAAACTATGGTGAGTAACGCACGCAGGTCTTGGCCCCACGTGAGCCATCATGGGGAACCTGTTGTTGGAGCATCCAGCCTGCACATGTGCCACTTTGCTGCCCTCTGTGGGCATGCTTGAGCTGCAGGATCTGGGCATGCACAGGAAAGACAGTGATCACAGCTGAAGGGGGCTTTTTGGGGATGCTGCATAAACTGTGTGCTGTGTACCTGTGTTTTGACTGCCACCTGTCACGTGAGGTCAGGTGTGGAATTTTCCCCTTGCGGTTTCACGTCAGCACTTTAAAAGTTTTGGATTTGGGGCCGGGCATGGTGGCTCATGCCTGTAATCCCAGCACTTCGGAAGACCAAGGAGGGTGGATCACCTGAGGTTTCACCATGTTGATCAGCCTGGGCCAACATGGTGAAACCTCATCTCCACTAAAAATACAAAAATTATTTGGGCATGGTGGTACGCCTGTAATCCCAGCTACTCAGGAGGCTGAAGTGCGAGGATTGTTTGAACCTGGGAGGCGGAGGCTGCAGTGAGCTGAGATTGAGCCATTGCCCACCAGCCTGGTGACACAGAGAGACTCCATCTCAAAAAAAAAAAAAAAAAAAAAAAAAAGTTTTGGATTTTGGAGCATTTCAGATTTCCGATTTTCGGATGAGGGATGCTCAGCCTGTACTAGACGGGGAAGCCAGCTCTGTCTGACTCTGGAGGCTGAGGGGTGAAGACATCCTCTCAGGACCAGCGCTCTCTACTCTCTGGGCAGGACTCCGTCCTCTGGACTCTGCTGATTCTGGTCTGACCTCCTTCTCTGGCAAGCGACAGGAGCTGTATATCTGTGAATGCCTTACACAGAACACCCATAACAACCAAAGGCACCCCTGTCCTAGAGATGGGCCTCTAGGAGGGGCAGGGCAGCTGCGGGCACACTTGGAAGTAGGTCCCAGCAGTGGCCTGGGTGCTCCTCGGGCCTCAGCCACACAGCTTGGCTCCAATCCTAGCATTTTGCTCTTTCCTCTGGAGGCTTGGCGGGTGCCTTGTGGCAGCCATGGCAACATAGGAGGAGTGCGGGGGTAGTTCTCCATGCCACTGTGAGGTAGGCTGACGCCTACGCCAGGGTTGAAAACTCCTGGGATATCCTCCTCTTAGCCCTCTCTAGGTTAGAAGACAGGGTGGCCACAGTCCTTTCACACTTCTGCCCTTGGGTTTTCCAGGGAACTTGCTAAGGGTGACACTGCCCTTTTGGGAATGGGGGAGAAGTGTCTGTCTGACCTGAGGATCATCCTTGGGCAGTAGACTTTGTTCTCCTGGTATAGCTCCCTCAGGCTGACGATCTCCAGCACCGTCACCAGGTTCACAAATGCCCGAGGAACCTGAGAAAAGGCAGAATCGGTCACCAAGAGGATGAGGCTGGGCAGCTCCCGGCTCTCACCTGGGTGTGGGGCCTGCTCTTCCTGCTCACGTTTCAGATCTAGGGACTTCCATCCACCCCCATCCACTTCCCCCACCCCTCCCTGCTCCCCATCTAGGCATCTGAGCTGAGATCCGCAACCAAGGTGACCTGCAGGTCTCCCCAGGACGCCAGAGCTTCCCCCAGGTTAGGCCAGGCCTGAGGTCTAAGATGCAGCCTCCGTACCTCAGCATGGAGGATGTCCAGAGCCTTCCCGATGTTGTCTGTGAAGTTCTGGGGAGAATAGCGGACCTGCGGGAAGAGGAAGTATCCCTTGAACACCATTTGTCACCCAATCTCTCTAGGGACAGGGCTACTTTCTCCCTTGGGTCCCTTTCTTTTTCTTTCTTTCTTTCCTTTTCTTTTTTAAATTTTTTGAGACAGGGTCTCACTCTGTCTCCTGGGATGTAGTACAGTGGTGTGATCAAGGCTTACTGCAACCTCTGGCTCCTGGGCTCAAGCGATCCTCCCACCTCAGCCTCCCAAGCAGCTGGGACCATGGGCACGTGCCACCATGCCTGGCTAATTTTTGTTTTGGTGGAGATGGGGTTTTGCCATGTTGCCCAGGCTGGTCCTGGGCTCAAGTGATCCACCCACCTTGGCCTCCCAAAGTGCTGGGATTACAGGTGTGAACCACTGCACCCAGCCAGAGTCCCCTTCCTACTGTCTTTCAGTCACAGCAGGCAATATTGAAATCTAGTGTTTGTCTCTGGGGCCCCAGCCTGGATGCCAGCCCCACGATCCTCAGATTTGTCATGGCTGTGGCCCTCAGGGAAATGCCTTTTGTTGTTGTTGCGTGGAGCTCTGGGTCTACTTCACATCCGCTAGCTTTGGAGCCAGAGCATTGCATCTCTGGGCCCCTCTAACACGGGGATGTCAGAGCAGATGAGCTCTAAGGTCTCCGGCAACTTGAGCAGCCTCTGTCCTATGGTCTGATCTCTTCTTCCTGGAGCCTCGGTGTCTGGGGAGCCATATCCTACACAAATCGAGGCAATAATGGAGGGGAAGAGGGTCTCGTGAAACACCTGCCACACCAAGCCTAGATACATTTTACCTGTTTCTTCTGACCTTGATATCTGTGGTTTTAAAGCCTTTTCAGTAGTGGAACTCTTCCTCTTATTGAAATCTAACCAAGAGCCCTGCTGTATGGACTATATCAAAGCTGTGTCACTTAAGGTGAGCAGGGGACGGGCCCAGGGTGCCACCTCCCCATGGGCCACCAGCAGCCCCAAGGCTCCCTTCTGGGCCGTTCAGATCACAGCTTGAAAACTCCTGACTCCTGGTGACTGGGATGCCAGGAAAGTGGATTGTGAGGGGTTTGGGGCATCCCTCCAGGTCGGTGATCACAGGCTACAGCAAGATAGCCTAAACCTCACTCTGCTGGTCTCCTTTCTACCTACAAACCTACTCATCTTTAAGCCCCAGTTGGAAAGTCTCCTGCTCTATGTAAATCTAACAACCCCCTTCCCTACCCACCAGGCTCCCACAGCAACTTTGCCTTTTTTTTTTTTTTTTTTTTTTTGAGACAGAGTCTTCCTTTGTCACCCAGGCTGGAGAGCAATGGCATGATCTCGGCTCATCGCAACATCTGCCTCGTGGGTTCAAGTGATTCTTTCACCTCAGACTCCTAAGTAGCTGGGATTACAGGCACCCGCCCATCATGTCTGATTAATTTTTCCATTTTTGTAGAAATGGGGTTTCACCATGTTGGCCAAGCTGGTCTTGAACTCCTGAACTCAGGTGATCTGCCCGCAGGCGTGAGCCACCGCGACCGGCCAACTTTGCTTTTTGTGCATCCCTACGACCACATCCTGATGTCTTCCTTATGCCGTGATGAAGTGCCTGTGTCTCTCCACTGGCAGTGCGAGTTCCTGAGGATAGGGCCTGTGTTTCCTTCATCACTGCTTCGCTCCTAGTACATTCCTGGCATAGGCATGGGTGGGAGGCTAGTGGGTATGGCCTGTCGGGTTTCTGTCAGCTCAGAAACAGCTTCCATGAAGACATGAAGCACCCATGGAGCAGCAGCCTTGATCTTGGGTTTCCCACCAGCTCAGAATGACTTGGCTCTGAAGCTTGCCCAAATGCCTGCAGGAAATCACCTCTCCCACACAAGCGACAGTATAGAGGTGGAGAGGGCAAGGCCGCCAAAGACTGGAGAAAGGAACTAACCCGTGACTCTCTGTGAATATGGGCAAGATTTTTCAAGGTCATTGGGTGTTATCTTGGCTTTTAGAATGATATGATCGGGCTCCCTTGATAGGAAACTGAATCAGGATCAATCTTGTAACCAATCCTGCTTGTCCAGCTGAATTGCTTCCTGGAGGTGAATGCTTTCTCGGTCTCAGGGTTCATGCCAGGCTGGATCTAAGACAAACCATGAGCCTGAGTCCCAAGTTAGCTGCAACTGCTCCTGGGTGGAGCAAGCGATGGAGCTGTGAAAATCCCCTCTCTGGGGGTGAGTCTGGAGTAAGCGGCCTGGAGACTTACCGGATCATTGCAGAAATCACAGAGGTCATTGCCGCCTATAAACAGGGTTATTATCTTCCAGTCTTCCTGAAAGTGTATCCTCTGAAATGAATAGGAAACACACAAGTAAGCACCTTGTCCCAGAGTCAAGTCAAGCTAAACACAAAGTGCTTGACACTACAAGAGATGGGTCCTCACACACCCGAGTATCTCGTGGGCTTCCATATTCTCCATTCCTTGGTTCTGGGGTCTTGAGATCATAGGTGCTAATGGTTCATTTATTTTAGGTGGAATTACTGAACTCTGTCCACACACAGAAGCACACAGGTCACAGTTTCCAGGTGTGCTGGTGGAGTGGGTACAGACGCCCTCTGAGCTCTGTTCCTCCATCTCCAGCAGAGCAAGGAAGTGGGGAGGGGATAAGGAAGCTGGTCCTGGCCATGGGAAAGGAACGTGTGTTCCAAAATCTAGAAATCCTGGATTCTAATTTTGCCTTAAGGGAGAAAGGACCACCTTTCCTAAGGAGAGAGCTCTCCAAATCTGGAGTACTCGCACTGGTGAATAGTTCCGCCCGTGAACTAGTCAAGCCAGAGAGGCTGGGTAAAGAGCAAGGTGGCAGCTCTAAGCACATGCTGTGAAAAGATTTGGGCACCTTTGGGATCTGTCTCCTCCAAGGGGGACCTGGAGAAGTATGTGAAGTCACAGGGCTGTGTGGAGGGGTGCAGCTATGCACAGTCCATAAATCATGGCCCCAGGGCAGCCGTGGCCCTCACAGCCTCTTATATTGCCCCAGGCTTACACAGCTTTGCTTCTGTGATCCATACTTCCAAAACAGGGTGGAAGGAGAAAGGTGAGAACGAGATCCAGAAAAGTTTGTCATTAAGGGTAGAAATACCCTGAAAACCTCTGATAGCAGGCTTCAGTATACATTCCGTTTTACATAACTCATCCTAAGCTTCCTTTTTAAATGATTTTGCCCACCTGGCAACTGCTGTAAAAAGCCTCTGAATTGAGACCCTTGCTTTCATTTAAGGGAGAACTTCATATTCGTCTTTCAGAACATGCAGCTCAAACATCTCCTCTACTTTTATTTTTGGTACTGCTCCTTGCAGAGCAGGGCTCTCTTATGGGCCATGTGCACAGAGTAACAGCCGAACAGCACCTTCTCAAGCCTCCCCTGACTCTCCTAAGCAGAGGGGCCTGTCCCTTCTGCACCCAACCCGTCTTATCCAGAGCCCTTTTGATGGAGCACAGGCCGACTGTTTCCTAATTTGATTCTTCACATTGCTCTCCCGTTCCAAGCTCCTTGAGGACAGGACTGGGCTGATTCTTTTATATATCTCCAGCCCCAGCCTGATGCCTGACTCACAATAGATGCGTAATTTCAGCAGCTAACTGACTGAGCGAATGAGTAGGAATCCCCCTTCCAGAGGAGCAGCGTTTCAGGCTTCAGATGTGCCTGCAAGAAACCCAAGCTGAGCTCCCCACCACCCCTCAATCCACAGCTGATTTCTGTATCCACGGATTTTTCCTGCCTACTTCCCATCCCAGGGAGTCCCACCTGGAGCCCCCTGAGACCCACCGTGTCATTCTTCATCAGGTCCACCAGCCTCCTGGCCTGGACAGGCAAATTCCTGCAGGGACACACCAGAGGAAGCGCTGTGAGGAGCAGAGACCGGCAGGGGCACTTGGCAGAGAGAACAACAATCTAATGTATGGTGGAGGAAGGCCCAGTGTGGGCCTCCTGCAGGAAAATAGGCTGAAGGCCATATCACAGAGCTTCTTCCCCATTCAGGCTCCACTGTGGGATGGGGGTGGGACGGTAGCTGTGCTGGGGAAGGCCAGAGCACTGTGCATAGGAGGGGGTAACTCTCAGTGTGACTATTGTCCTTTTTTTCTTCTTCCTGAGATGGAGTCTCGCTCTGTTGCCCAGGTTGAAGTGCAGTGGCATGATCTCTGCTAACTGCAACCTCCACTTCCCAAGTCCAAGAGACTCTCCTGCCTCAGTCCCCTGAGTGGCTGAGATTACAGGCCCGTGCCACCATGCCCAGCTAATTTTTGTATTTTTAATAGAGATGGGGTTTCACCATGTTGGTCAGGCTGCACTCAAACTCCCGACCTCATGATCCACCTGCCTTGACCTCCTGAAGTGCTGGGATTACAGGCGTGAGCCACTGCACCCTGTCGAAGCTCAATTTTATCATCAGTAAAACATGGGAGTCACCCTCTGCCCTGTTCATCTCATGTTTCTTGTGCAGAACACAGTTGCCTTGTAAATGGGGCACTGATGTATCTGCATGAGGGCCATTGGCAGACCTGGAATGAAGCCTGCAGGGCACAAGGCCAGACTATGTGGTCAAGTTGATGCATTTGTTCGGGCCATGTGGCCTCTCTGTGCTATAGTTTCTTCAATTCTAATGCAGGAATAATCCCCAACTTTTCCCTGCCACCCAGGATGTGCTTGGATTGCTTGCATGAAAGAGCCCCAAGGCCTCTGGCAGTGCAAGGATAGAAACCCAGGGCCATATGAATCACATTCATTTTGATTACTTTTTTTCTTTTCTTTTTTTTTTTTTTTTTTTTTGAGACAGAGTTTCGCTCTTGTTACCCAGGCTGGAGTGCAATGGCGTGATCTCGGCTCACTGCAACCTCCACCTCCTGGGTTCAGGCAATTCTCCTGCCTCAGCCTCCTGAGTAGCTGGGATTACAGGCATGCGCCACCACGCCCAGCTAGTTTTTTGTATTTTTAGTAGAGACAGGGCTTCACCATGTTGATCAGGATGGTCTTGATCTCTCGACCTCGTGATCCACCCACCTCGGCCTCCCAAAGTGCTGGGATTACAGGCTTGAGCCACCGCGCTGGCCATTTTGGTTACTTTTATGCTCTTGACTCTAAGGTTTTATTCTTGGATACCTCCCTGACCTAATCATACTTACCAGTCTTTCCTCTCATAGTACCAGCCCACGTATGCTTGGAAAAAGCAAGATTATGCTACTATTAAAGTAAGCCAAGAAATTAATGCAGTAAATCTGTAGCCTTTTACCTCTATCCCCATCAAAAGGAAAAGAAAGCCCCAGAATTCATCATAAGACCTATTGGGCTTTGTATTAGCTGTTACTTTGGATACTGTGCCCCCTTTCCCAATGGCAATGAATGAGAAAGCTCCTTAGGTGGCTCATGGTCTCAGGATGGTGCTGAGAGCTGGAAGGATGTCAGGAAATCTAGGAACCAAACCACATGAGCTTAGGCTACATGGTAGTGTGATGTTTGTGATTAAAAATAGGATTTAGAAAAAAACAAATAATCCCATCGAAAATTGGGCAAAGGACATGCACGGTCAATTCTCGAAAGAAGATATACAAACAGCCAACAAACATGAAACAGTGCTCAACAGAACCGATTATCAGGGAAATGCAAATTAAAACCACAATGAGATGCCACTTTACTCCTGCAAGAATGGCCATAATTAAAACGTCAAAAAATCATAGATGTTGGCCTGGATATGGTGAGGTCAGGAGTTCAAGACCAGCCTGGCCAACATGGTGAAACCTCATCTCTACCAAAAAATACAAAAAAAATTAGCCTGGCATGGTGGTATGTGCCTGTGATCCCAGGTACTTGGGAGGCTGAGGTGGGAGAATCGCTTGAACCTGGGAAGTGGAGGTTGCAGTTAGCTGAGATCGTGCCACAGTACTCCAGCCTGGGCAACAGAGCAAGACCCTGTCTCAAAAAAATAAAACAAATAAAAAACAAAACAAGAATGATATAATGGACTCTGGGGACTCAGAGAGGAAGGGGGCAGAGATGAGGGATTAAAGATTATATATTGGGTATGTTGTACCCTGCTCAGGTGACAGGTATACCAAAAAGCTCAGAAATTACCACTGAAGAACTTACTCATGTAACCAAAAACTACCTGTACCTCAAAAAATGTTGAAATAAAAATTATAAATACAAATAGTATAAAAAAGAATGAGTCTTCCTATTTATTTTTCCTTGATTAAGTATAGCACTCACTTGCTCTCTGAGCAGGCAGCAAACCCCAAGAAACACTCAGGCTTTGGAGTGCCAGTGGAGGGATGGGACCTAGGAAAGTCGACCTGCCAGCTCTTGAGGACTGACCTGGCTGTGCCCAGGGACCACGACCGTGATGGCTGTGCCCACTGATGTTTCCCCCAGGTGGCCCTGCCACTTTACTGCATGACTGCCAGGATCACCATTCTGACCAACGTGTGTCATGTGTCCACTATTTACAGCTCGCCAGAACGTTCATATCTAATACGGCATTTGAGCTTCACAACCGCCCTGTGGGAGAGGTTCCTAACCAGCCCCACCTCTTAGAGTCTGAGGCTCAGAGAGGCCAGGGAGGAAACCGCGCCCGCCCCCAGGGCTTCCCCTCCCAGGGCTGGTGCTCTGCCTGGGACACAGGAAGGATACAGAGTCTAGAGCCTGAAAGGTACAGCTGAGGAAGTGAGGGAGAGCAGGACCCCGAAACAGCAGTGGCATAGCAGTGACAACTGGGATGCAGTGAGCCCAGTTATGGCCCATGTCTTACGTGAGATTTACAGACAGGCAAAGTAATCTGCTCAGAGCATATGCCTGGCACCACAGTCTACTGTGACTAGTTTCTGGGGGTAGGTGTCAGGGTAGGCTTGTAGATTTCTGGGACACCTCCAAGAGAGCCATAAACTCAGTTTAGGCCAAGCCCACCCCTGGTCCCCAGAGGACCCGTGCTGTTCACTGCCCCCGTCACCCCTACTCACTCAGCTTTGTCTCCTGCCACAGCCTGGTTTAAGAAGGCATTAGCACTGGTTTCCTTTCCAGTGCCAACAGAGAAGCCCTTCAGGGATGGGTTGAATTCCCGGAAGATGTCTGCAAATACAAGGGAAAAAGACACGCTTAGGGACTACTGCAAAGCAATCTTCAAGTTCCTTTGATAAGCACTGGTGGATGTTGGGGAGTAGAGTCCCCACTCCACAGCCCCTACTCTTACCCCAACCTTCACTCATGGGAAGAAAGTGTTCAGCTGCCTTCACCACAGGCAGCACATGACAGGTGTCTCATCAGTTATTGTTGAAGAAATGTGAGTCTGGGTTACATGCTTTCCTCATGTATTTTTGTTTTTTTTTTTTTTTTCTAAATATATAGTAGCTTTATTGAGATATAATTCACTTACCACAAAAATTCACCAATTTAAAGTGTACAGTTCAATAACTTTCAGTATATTCACACAGCGGTACAGTCATCGCTGCATAATCAACTTTAGAACATTTTCATCACCCTACAAAGAAACCCAGTACCCACTGGCAGTCACTCCCCATTCCCTCCAACCTCCTGGCAATCACAAATCTATGCTGTCTCTGTAGTGTTACTTATTCAGGCCATTTCATAGGAATGAAACCATATACGCCAATATACCTTTTGTGACTGGCCTCTTTCACTTAGCATACTGTTTTCAACATTCATCCGTGTTATAGCATGCATCGTACTGCATTCCTTCTTACTGTTGAATACTATTCCACTGTGTGAATATACCACATTTTATTTATTCATTCTTCAGTTGATGGGGCTTTGGAGTTTACGCATTTTGGCTATTATGAAAAATGCTGCTATGAACATTTGTGTACAAATTTTTGTGTGGATTTCTCTTGGATATATATCTAAGAATGGAAAAGGTTAAACAGAGTTTAACCTTTTGAGGAACTGCCAGGACTTTTCCCAAAGCAGTTGGCACCATTTTTCATTCCCACCAGCAGTTTATGAGGTCGTCAATTTTTCCACATTCTCACCAACACTTATTATTATCATTTTTTTATTCTAGCCATGCTAGTGGATGTAAACTGGTAACTCATTTTGGTTTTGATTTGCACTGATGGCTACTGATGTTGAGTATTTTTTTATGTGCTTGCTAGCCATTTGTATATCTTCTGTGGAGAAATGCTTATTCAGATACCTTGCCCATTTTTAATTGGGTTGTCTTTTTATTATTGAGTTGTAAGTTCTTTATAATTTCTAGATACAAGTTTCTTATTAGATATAGGATTGGCAAGTATTTTCTTCCACTCTCTGGGTCATCTTTACATTCTTTGATATATGATTGGATATCCTTTGAAGCACAAACTATCAATTTTTTTTCTTTCTCCACTTGTGCTCTTAGTGGTATATCTAAGAAGACTTTGTTTAGCTCAAGATCATAAATATTTGCTCTTATAGTTTCTTCTCACAGTTTTAGCTCTTACATTTAGGGAATTTTTGTATAAGGTGTGAGGTAGGAGCCCAACCTCATTTTTTTTTTTTTTTTTTTTTTTTTTTTGCGTGTAACTACCTAGTTGTCTCAGCACAATTTATTGAAAAGACGACTCTTTCCCCTTTGAGTAGTTTTGGCATCCTTGCTGAAAATGAGTTAACCATGAATATGAGAGTTTAATGTCTCTCAATCTTAGTCCATTGGTTGATATGTCTATCCTTAAGCTAGTACCACATATCTTGATTACTATAGCTTTATAATATTAAGTTTTGAAATTGGGAAGTATGAATTCTCCGAATTTGTCCTTTTTACAGATTTCTTGGGATATTCTGAGTCCCTTAAATTTCCACATGAATTTTAGGGTCAGTTTGCAAATTTCTGCAAAGGAGCTAGCTGGAGTTTTGATAGAGATCACATTGAATCTGTAGATTGATTTGAGGAGTATTATCATTTTAAGAATATTAAATCTTCCAATCCATGAACATCAAATGTTTTCCTATTTATTTAGGTCTTTAATTTGTTTCAGCAATGTTTTGTGACCTTAAGAGATGCTTTTTTTTTTTTTAGCTAAATTTATTCCTAAGTATTTTATTATTTTTGATACTACTATAAATGGAATTGTTCATTTCGTTCTAGGATTTTAGCAATGCTAACTGCTAGTATAAATAATTATAATTGATTTTTATATATTGCTTTGTACCTTGCAATCACTGAACTCATTTATTAGCGCTAATTTTTTTAGTGGATTTCTTGGGATAGTCTCTGTATGATATCATGTCATCTTTAAATAGAAGTGGTTTATTTCTTTATTTCCAATCATGGTACTTGTTCTTTTTCTTGCCTAACTGCCATGGCCAGTATGATGTTCAACGAAAGTGGCAAGAGCATGCATCCTTGTCTTATTCCTGAAACTAGAGAGAGGGGGCAGCATCCCATCTTTCACCATTGCCTATGACGTCAGCTGTGGGCTTTTAGAAGATACCCTTCATCAGAGTGAGGACGTTTCCTTCTATTCTTAATTTGTTGAGTGTTTTTTAAATTTTTGTTTGTTTGTTTGAGACAGAGTCTTACTCTGTTGCCCAGCCTCGAGTGAAGTGGCACAATCTTGGCTCACTGCAACCGCTGGCTCCCAAGCTCAAGAGATTCTTGTGCCTCAGCCTCCCAAGTAGCTGAGACCACAGGTACCCACCACCACACCTGGCTAATTTTTGTGTTTTTAGTGGAGATGGGATTTCACCATGTTGGCCAGGCCAGTCTCAAACTTCTGACCTCAAGTGATCTGCCCGCCTAGGCCTCACAAAGTGCTGGGATTACAGGCATAAGCCACTGCGTCCAATCTTCGTTGAGTGTTTCTACTGTGAAGTGGTAGATGTTTGTTGAATACCTTTTCTGATCCGTTGAGATGACCATGATATCTGGTTTTTGTCTTTTATCCTATCGACATAGAATATTACATTAATTGATTTTGAGGTTTAAAACTAACCATGTATCCCTGGGATAATTCCACTTAGTCGTGAGGTATAATTGTTTTATATTGTTGGATTTTGTTTGCTAGTATTTTGCATAGGATTTCTGGGTCTATATTCATAATATTACTGGTCATAGTTTTCTTCCCTTGTGATGACTTTGTCTTATTTTGCTAGCAGGGTAAAACGCACAGAATGAGTTGTGAAGTATTCCTTCCTCTTCTGTTTTTGAGAGGATTTTGTGAAGAACTGGTAATTGATACCAGTGTTTGATAGAATTCACCACTGAAGCCAGAAAAAGTCTTTGCTTTTTTTGGTTGGAAGTTTTAAAATTATTAATTCCATCTCTTTGCTTGTTATAAATCTATTCAGATTTTCTACTTTTAACTGAGTCAATTTCAGTAGTTTGTGCCTTTTGAGGAATTTGCCCTTTTCATCTAAGTTATCTGATTTATTGGCATACAATTGTTCATACTATTCTTTTATTTTATTATTATTATTATTATTTTTTTGAGACAGAGTTTCGCTCTTGTTACCCAGGCTGGAGTGCAATGGGCGCGATCTCGGCTCACTGCAACCTCCGCCTCCTGGGTTCAGGCAATTCTCCTGCTTCAGCCTCCTGAGTAGCTGGGATTACAGGCACGCGCCACCATGCCCAGCTAATTTTTTGTATTTTTAGTAGAGACGGGGTTTCACCATGTTGACCAGGATGGTCTCGATCTCTCGACCTCGTGATCCACCCGCCTCGGCCTCCCAAAGTGCTGGGATTACAGGCTTGAGCCACCGTGCCCGGCCAATACTGTTCTTTTAGAATCCTTTTTATTTCCATATGGTTGGAAGTATTTCCTCTTTCATTCTTGATTTTGAGTCTTCCTCCCTTTTGCCAGCCTAGCTGAAGTTTTGTCACTTTTGTTGAACTTTGCAATCTCATGCATTCTAATTGCCTTTACTCAACTGGATCCCCACTTTTCACTTTTTCATCCTTCCAACTTGACTGAGCCCTCCTGAGAGCAGGGTCTATATATACCTCAGGGCCTCATAAAATGCTCAATAAATGTTTATGGACTGAATTAGAAATAGAACAAAGTTCACACAAGCTTGGAGAATTGTTCAAAGTCACGTAGCTGCTGAGGACGGCTGGTTTCTCAGCTCCAACATGGGACGCTTGCCCCCGTCTCAGTCCACTAGGATGTGAGAAAGAAACTGGCTGGGTAGTAGCCAGGACTTAAGGGTTCCATGGCATCCAGCGGAGTGCTTCTAGAACCCAGCACTGCTGCAGGTTCACCAACACAGACGGACTGGACTCATTCCTTCAGGCTTTGGGGACATGATGCTAATAAACGGAAATTGCTCCAATTTCTACTCAACAGAAGAACTGTGAAATCACCCGAGCGATTTGAAAGTGGAATGGTTTGTCCTAGGAGGTGGTAGGTTCCCTAGGAGGTAGATGGAACTCAGCACAGTTTACCCAGCTACTTAGCAGGAATGTCACAGGGAGGAAACACACAATTGGATAGGGTAGCAGCTTGCTGGCACAGGCAGATATCTCTGCCAGGAACATTCTCTCCCCTTTCCTTACCTGAATTCTAATTCTTGAAGCTCCTTTTCAGAAGATCGGGTCAACAGCCTCTATGTTTATTTTCCCCTAAGCTTTGTACACATCTGTAAATATTAGTCATGTGTCCATCTTATAGGAAGACACACAGCCAAAGAGACTTGGGTGATGTCATCGGGACACTGTTCTCCTATTTCCCAAGCACCAGCACTGGAGTATTTACTGGATTAAATTGAACAGGGGGTTGGACAGGGATTCTGTTCTGCCCTTACATTCTTAGGAGTTTTCTAACACATTTCCATATGGTTATTTCCCCCTACAATCAAATGGTCTTCACATCTCTAGCAAGAAGAATCTAAACGGCTGCTATTCCATTTCTGGGGAGTCATCCACCTGAGGGGTGACAAAGTCTCAATTCTTTGTAAATTACTTTGGTAAAAGAGGTGAAGTATATCCAATCATCGTGTCCACGATACGAGCATGGGAATTAGAGAGCCCAGAAAGCTGTTGTATACATTGGGCCATCCCACAGCCAAGTTAATCACACTCACAGAAGCACCCTGAACCATCTCCTAGCAATAGAGGAACTGACTTATCGCTCACATGGGTAGATCTAGATGTAAAGAAGGCAGGGAGTGCCTGTGGCACAGAACTGCATCTACGTAAATTCAACAGGGTTACAAACAACCGAAACAGGTAAGTGAAGTCTGCCCAGCTCAGCTCTGCCTATGTGGAGATTAAGCTATGATGTCCCCATCATCCAAGTCTTGGTGGCTTCAAATTCAAGTTGTTAGCTTCTAAAGCTATGTTACAAAGGGATATGTACCAGGAAAGTAAACGAGAATGGGACCAATCAAATACCTCTCAGGCAAAATTATCAGCCAGAAGATTCCAGGAGAAGAATTGAGTTTAAACATTTATCGCTTGCATACTTTAAGAACAAGCACGGAGATGTGCATGCACGGGGGAGAATTTAAAACAAGAATACAGTCAGGCTTTAAAAAAATCATTCCGCCTGTAGTTCCAGCACTCTGGGAGGCCGAGGCAGGCAGATCCACGAGGTCAGGATATCAAGACCATCCTGGCCAACGTGGTGAAACCCCGTCTCTACTAAAAATACAAAAATTAGCCGGGTCCGTGGTGGCATGCGCCTGTAGTCCCAGCTACTCGGGAGGCTGAGGCAGGAGAATCGCTTGAACCCGGGAGGCGGAGGTTGCAGTGAGCTGAGATCGCGACACGGCACTCCAGCCTCTAGCCTGGCAACAGAGCAAGACTCTGCCAAAAAAAAAAAAAAAAATGCATTCCGAGCAGGTTGGTAGGCAAGTAAATTAAGGAAAAGTGTTGAGCTCCAAAGATGGCTGCGTCCGCACAGCCTGCACACGGTAACTTCATCGCCTCCTCCTGCAAACGCAGCGGTTCCTACAAGCAACCCCGCAATTCAGTGGCTACGCGCAGCGGTGCCTCCCCTCCCCATAGGCCGGAACAGCCAAACAAAAAGCCAGCTTTAAACAGGGGCTGATTTTTGCAGTTGTTGGGGCGGGGGAGCTAGGTTGGTTCCTTGCACCCCTGCTTTCAAACGGGAAGTAGTGCCTCTTCTGCCGGGCCCTTTCCAGCTAACCACCGCAGCGGGCGTTATTATTATTGGTGTAAATGTCGTTTTTCAAAAGTTGCTCTATTTATTCTTTTTTTCTTTTCCTGTTTGGCTTGGAAAAGCCGTTTTTAAAAGGTGTCTTCTAGAGAGTCAGCCAACTTCCAAACCAATAGGAAAATTCCAAGGTGATCAAAGTCAGATGGGTCTCTAGGCATGAAAATATGATCCCAGGTGCCTGGATCGATGCCTCTCCCAAGGGCGATCTGCTCGGAAAGGCAGGCGCCGCAGACCCGGGTTTTCTTCTTTCTTGAATCACTTTTCTTTATTTTTGCTCATCTCATGCCGGATTGTTGAATCACTTTTTGATGACTTGCACTAAGATGTGGCCTGAGCTCTTTTCCACCCCCCACGCTTTACTCTCTTCCTTCCTTGGTAAAGACGGTGTCTCTTTGACACTGCCCCGCCCCCGGGCCCCGCCCCAAACCCCCGCCCCGCCCTCCACGCCGAGATTGTCGTCCCCGGAGCGGAGCGGGGCGGCAGGTTCGGGAGGCAGCGCCCCCTGCTGTATGCAGCGCGCTCCCGCAGCCGGGGCTCCTCCCGAGGCCCGCGCCGCCTGCAGGGGGAGCGGGAAGCGCGCAGGGGCCGCCCCGAACCAAACTGCCCGCCCGGCCGCCGCCGCGCACTCACTGGCCAGGGTGGTGACGGTGCTGATGCTCTCATCTCCGCCGACGCTGTATCGTGGGCCCAAGAAAGAAAGCGAAAGGTTAAAATGCCAGCCATGCCGAGACCCGTCAGACAGCAGCAGAAACGCCTGTCTCCCGAGAAACAGCCTGGGGGGGGGGCCTTGGAGCTGGCCCATCTCCCCATCAGTTCAGTAGAAAAACGGGAAGGCAAACCAGAATACGACTCCCCTCCCCATAGGCCGGAACAGCCAAACGAAAAGCCAGCTTTAAACAGGGGCTGATTTTTGCAGATGTTGGGGCGGAGGAGCTAGGCTGGTTCCTTGCACCCCTGCTTTCAAACGGGAAGTAGTCCCTCTTCTGCCGGTCCCTTCCCAGCTAACCACCGCAGTGGGCGTTATTATTATTCGTGTAAATGTCGTTTTTCAAAAGTTGCTCTATTTATTCTTTTTTCTTTTCCTGTTTGGCTTGGAAAAGCCGTTTTTAAAAGGTGTCTTCTAGAGAGTCAGCCAACTTCCAAACCAATAGGAAAATTCCAAGGTGATCAAAGTTACATGGGTCTGTAGGCAGGAAAATATGCAGCATTCCAGAGTGGACTGGATTCCCTGCTTTTCCACAAGCGTGTCTAGGAGCATCTAAAAGGTTTCCCAAATGTTTGGCTTTTAACTGTGTAGCAACATGAGGAAGGATGCCAGACACTCGGCACTCAGGTTAAAGCAGGTGTCCAATGGAGATGCCAGATTCCAGGTGCGGAAACACCGAGCCTGCCCGGGCTTGCGGCAGAGGTGCTCACATGCAGAGCAGAAATAAGCCTGCCCAAAGCGAGACATGATAAGGGAATGCACTGGTAGGGGCCAGGAAACATCTGCTCTGCTTTGTGATCTTTTACCATCTGGCTGTGTGATCTCGATCAAGCTACTTGCCCTCTCTGAGCCTTGTTTCCTCATCTGTCAAATAAATGCCCTATAATAACAATGCCAGCTACCAGCTACTTACTTTGTGCCAAGCACTGTGCTGGCCACTTAAATTCTTTCTAGTCCTCAGACAGTGCTTAGGTAGTAACGTTATTTCTGCATCAGACATGAAGAGAGAAGCTGGGCAAACAGCTGGACAGCCAGGGCTCTGTTACAACACTGGTTCCAAAGGCCATGATCTGTGCATCACTCGGGCCACTGCCTCCTTCTGAGATCACATCACAGAGGGAGAAACGGAGGCCAGAGGAGCATTTCCAACCCATTTATATAGTTTCTCTCCTAGACTCCTGGCTCAGGGCTCAGCTACTGTTCTGGGCAATGCAGCGGTTTGAGGAGGCTGGTGAATATCTTTTTCAAATGAAACCTAGAAGTTTGTCATAGTAAAGAACAAAGCGGCCCATCCCTCTGTTTAGGGTGATGTTTTCTAGGATGCTCAGTGGGTTTCCCTTGCCCTGCAATGAAGGGGTCTTTGGGGCCTTGCCACACCCTCACTCACCTCCAGGACAGGCCGCGGTACTGAGTCAAGACGTCCAAGATGTTTCCGGGTCTGGACCCAGCCCCATTGCCTGCCTGAGACGGAACAAGGAGAGGATGAGTTTCTCTGCTTTCCCCAGCGGCCCTCCTCGGCCGGCCTGCCAGAAAGTTTACGTTCTTATGCCGGCTGGGACTGCCCGGGTGCTCTCTAGGATCTAGGGTCTAGAGGGCACCAAGTCTCCATGTGCCTCCTGCCTTCTCAGAAGAGCGGCCCCTGGGAACGCCTGGTGCCACTCACAGCTCTGCTTCATTCTAAGAAACCCTGCCTAGACCAAGACCAAGCGAAACTTGTCTAGCCAAAGTGCTCTTGAAATCAGACTGTAACTTCTCAAAAGGATACCTTTCAGGGTCCTGTTTTTCTCATTTTTAACAAAGTTATGAAGGATATCATAAAAGGAAATATTATCATTTTATACCAATATATCTCACCTATGCACAGCTTAAAATGTAGTAATAATATGAAACCCCATGTGCCCACCATCAGCTGGAGAAGGCACAATGTGGGCACTCTCCAGGTGTGTGCCCCTTGCCTAAAGCACGCTGTTTCTGAGCAGAGTGTTTTGCGGGGCGTGCTGAGACCAGCCTCTCAGGCAGTGGGGGGTGAAGGCTAGCCTCCACAAGAGGCCTCGCAGGTGTGATCCCTGCTCTCTGGTGCCCAGTTCTTTTGCTACCTGCCAGGCAGGTTCATACCCAAAGTGCTGACCTCCCTAGGAATCCCTGAGCAGCTGTGCCGAGATGTGATGACCCCTTGTTCTGAGAGTATCTTCAAGGAGACCAGGGAATTCGGAGGAGGTGATGTCAGGCCCGGTGATAAGCAGTGTAGCAGCGCTAACGCCCAGCCTGCCAGCCCTTCCTGGGAGGTTATGAACAGTCAGGCCGTTGGGGTGAAGAGTGGCGGAGGGGCCATGGAGGAGGCTGCCACAGGACAGGGACAGGGACCCAGACTCAGGGTCGGGATCCCTGGGTTCTGATCCTGGCTTAAGCACTTACAAGCTATGTGGCCTTAGCCACTTCACCTTGCCCAGCTTCATTTGCCTTATTATTTATTTAGAGACAGGGTCTTGCTCTGTTGCCCAGCCTGGAGTGCGGTGGCACCATCGTGGCTCACTGCAGTCTTGAAATCCTAGGCTCCAGTGATCTTCCAGCCCTAGCCTTTCGAGTAGCTGGGACTATAGGCATTCACCACCCTGCTTGGTTAGTTTTTTCTTTCTTTTCTTTCTTTCTTTCTTTCTTTTTTTTTTGAGATGGGGTCTTGCTATGTTGCCCAGGCTTACCTTGACCTCCTGGTCTCCTTCTGCCCTGGACTTCTAAAGCACCAGGCTTACAGATATAAGCTGCTATGCGCAGCTATGTTTTTTTGTTTGTTTGTTTGTTTTTTTTTCATTTTTGTAAAGATGGAGTCTTACTATGTTGCCCAGGCTGCTCTCAACCTCTTGGCCTCAAGTGATCCTCCCACCCTGGCCCCTTAAAGTGCTGGGATTCTAGATGTGAGCCATGGGCCCAGCCTTTACTGGCTGAATTTAAGAAAGTCGTACCTCAGGATTTTGTCATGAGGATATACCCCACTATGTGGTATGGCATCACTGTGACAGGCCATAGACATGAGAGGTGTCTGCTCATTCAAGGGGAGGATTCAGCTGCAGACCCTGTATTCTACTGGCCCAGGGAAGAGCAGCTGGACTCTGATGAGTGGCTACTGAATGGAAGCTGTGTCTAGAAAGCTCCGGGACCCCTAGCCCCCAGGCTCTTAAAGGGCCTGGTTCTGCTTTTCGTGGATAGTGCTTTGCAGGGTCTGGGGTGTCACCATGGGGCAGATGCAGAGGGAGTTTGGAGCATCTTTGGGCTCCCCACCTCTTCCGCAGACTCTCGTCTTCCCCCCTCCCCCGCCACCTCCCTGCCCCATCAGCCCTTGCTCCTGTCTCAACATCTCTTTGCCCCTCTTCTTGGTACCTTCCCTTAGCTTTTCTACATGGACGAAACAAAGCGCTGGGTCCTTGAAGGAGTTCTACACCATGGTCTGGAGACCTCGTCCAATCCTGCCCCACTACTGACCAGCTGTGTGACTTGGGGTGGGTCACTCCTGTGACCCACATTCCCCCTAGGGTCCCTCCACTTCCTGCTCTCTCCATCTCGGCACTGCGGAAGGAAGATGAGACCAGAATGGAGGTGGGAATCCATGATGGTTAGGGAATGCTGCTGAATGCCAGGATGGGCCAGGCAATGGAGAGGAGCTGGAGATCAGGACCCGAGATGGCAACATCTAAGAGCCAGCAGTGAGAACTCCTCTCTTTATTTTCCTCTCCAGGTTCTTATATTACTCAAGATCTTTTCCCCTCCTGCCCCTTCTGTATCAGGGTCACTTACCGTGAGAGAGTCACCCAGGGCCCCAATGACACTGATGTCAGCCGGCTTCAGCCTATGAACTGAGAATACAAGCAGGAGTGAGTGGAAAATGGGGACGGGGCGTCCAAGAAAGCACTGGACCTATCTACTCTGAAACAAAGGAATATCTTCCAGGATAACAAAGTCAGTTTTTACCAGCAGGACACCTTGGATAAAAGACAGAAAAACCCATCCTTGTCAATGGGCTCTGCCACGCCAGCCATGGAGCCTGAGTGCCAGCTTCTTCTCTGGGGCGCCTGGACACAGGAACAGGAAGCTGAAAGGTGGGTCCTGCTTTAAGAGGGGAGCTGTGCTTGCATTTGGTGAGACCTGATGCTACCAGGTGAGTAGCAGCAGGCCCTCGGCAGGGTGATGTGGGAGTGGGGAAGGAATTGCCATGACAATAAAACCAATACTTAATCGATCCTAGGATATGATGATATTTGGGATAAAATATTACATCATTCCATAAAAATCAGTTCAGTTTCTCTAAAGTGAAAGGGGAATACTTTTATACCATTGCCTATTTTTTTTTTAATTGAGAGAAAATTTACATAACTGAAATTAACCATTTAAAGGTGAACGTTTCTGTGGCATTTGGTACATTCACAATGCTGTGCAACTATCCCCGCTATCTAGTTTTGAAACATTTTCATTACCCCAAAAGGAGACCCTATATCCATTAAGTGGTCCCTCCCACATCTCCCTCCTCCCAGTCCCTAGTAACCAATAATCTGCTTTCTGCCTCTATGGATTTATCTATTCTGGATATTTAATATAAACACAATCACATGTGACTTTATGTCTGGCTTCTACTTTGCATAATGTTTTCAAGTTTCACTTATGTTATAGCATGCATCAATACACTCATTTGATTTGAGACAAGGTCTCACTCGGTCACCTAGGCTGGAGTACAGTGGCACGTGATCATAGCTCACTGCAGCTTCGACCTCCTGGGCTCAAGTGATCCTCCCACCTCAGCCTCCTGAGTAGCTGGGATTATAGGTGTGCACCACCATGCCAAGCCAATATTTTTGGTTTTTTGTAAAGAAAGAGTCTCCCTGTGTTGCCCAAGCCCTGGCCTCAAGTGATCCTCTTGCCTCAGCCTCCCAAAAGGCTGGGATTACAGACATGAGCCACTGAACTCTGCCACTTCATTCTTTTTCATTGTTGAATGATATTCCATTGTATGGATAGACCACACTTCTTTTTATCCATTCATCCACTGCTAGGCATTTGGGCTATTTCCACTTTTTGGCTATTGTGACTGCTTGCTCTAAATGCCTGTGTACAAGAGTTTGTTTGAATGCCCATTTTTAATTATTTTGGTATACACCTGAGAGTGGAATTGGTGGGTTACATGGTAATCCTATGGTCAGCTTTTTGAGGAACCATCAAGTTGTTTTCCACAGCTTGATTATATATATTTTTTGTCTTTTGAGTTTAAGCATACTGTGTGATGTGGCAGCTATTAGCTCACAGGACAAATATACTAAACTCCAAGCAGTGGCTGAGTACTTTGGAGACTACACAGGGATAAGAAATGGAGAATGCCATCAAAAAGCTCACGAGCTAAGGAGAAACCCAGAAATAGCCGTAGTTATTATAACGTAAGGCTGATAAACACTAAGAGAGGTGTGAAGTGATGTGAGGTTATAGAGCTGGAGGAATGATCTCCTCCAGGGGACCTGCAGAGGGGGTCACAGCAGGCTTCATGGAGAAGGTCGCGTTTGAATTCAGCCTCAGGAAATAAGAGGAGGAGGAGGGAGAGTGAGTTTGGGTGAGGGAGGGAAAAGCGTGATGATAAATGGTCGTGGTATGGTCAAGCTTGGATGTCTTGAAAGCCCGGCTAGTCACACAGTTTGGCTTGCATGAAGCATATATGAGAAAGCTAAGAGAAAACCACCTTGGAAAGGTAGGTTAGGGCCACAGGCCTTTTATGCATGGCTAACAAGTTAGGAGTTTAACATAGATATTGCTATATATGTAATTACCCACATACACACACAGGTACTCTATCTACCTACCCCTTTACCTTATACACATAAGAATGCGAATTCTATACATTTAGGGGACAACACCTGAATTCCTTAAGCTACACATAGCTTGATCTCTCAAGTCCCAAGCTCACCTCCCACTCCTCCAGTGACCTCACTCCCAAGGTCACCCTGACTTGGCCACAGGTCCGCCCTTGCCAGTGCACTTCTGTCCTGCCTCATGGTGCAATGCTGAACTAAATTGTTGAAATGGCTCTTGTGGTTTGGAAGAAGCCTAGTACAAAGTTTGTCCCAGGGAGTGGCCCATCCTGGCGGGAAGAAAGCCGTCATTTCAGTGGGCCATTGCTTACGAGGGATAAACTAAAAGTCATCTGGAAGAGGCTTTCTCAACAGCCTTCTTTGCCAAAGACAGTTTATAAAACCTTCAGCATAGCTGGGCACAGTGGCTCTGCCTGTAATCCCAGCACTTTGGGAGGCCAAAACGGGCAGATCACCTGAGATCAGGAATTCGAGACCAGCCTGTCCAAAATGGTGAAACCCCATCTCTATTAAAAATACAAAAATTAGCCAGGCGTGGAGGTGTGCACCTGGTATCCCAGCTACTTGGGAGGCTGAGGCATGAGAATTGCTTGAACCTGGGAGGAGGGGGCTGCAGTGAGCCGAGATTGAGCCACTGCACTCCAGCCTGGGTGATAGAGCTAGACTCTGTCTCCAGAAAAAAAAAAAAAAAAAAAAAAAAAGCCTTGAAACACAGGACGAGATGATTTGGGACGAGACGATTTTACACAGCTGGACTACATACAACCCACAGCACCCATCAACATCCAAATCATGGCTGTGGAACTATACCCATGCAGGAAGCCGGATTAGCATTGAGTGGAAAGCATACTCAAGGGGACTTTCAGGTCTCATCTACCTTCTTCAATACTGTCTGCCAGTGGGGACAGCCACTCCCAACAAGGATTTGCTCTCGTTGGAAAAGGAAAAGTTCTTGCCTCTTTCTGTGAAAGAATACAAACCCACACATGCATAGTTGTAAATGTATGTCTGCAAAATATAGAGCTCAGTGGCTCTCAAACTTGAGCCTGCATCAGAATCACCTGGAGAGCCTGTGAAAACACAGATGGCTGGGCCCCACCTTCAGAATTTTTGGCTTAATGGGTCTGGGGTGGGCCCAAGGATGTGCATTTCTAACAGGTTTCCAGGTAACGCTGATGCTGCCAGTCCAGTCTGGGTACCACATTTTGAGAACCACTGACAGAGACACTTGATTATCAAAGCCGTTGACTGCAGTCAAGTACTGAGCTTGGACCTGAAAAGCCTGGAATGAAGCCCAGGAGGCAGAAGCCGCAGTGAGCTCTGATCACGCCACTGCACTCCAGCCTGGGCAACACAGTGAGCCCGTCTCTAAAAATATATAAATAAATAAGTAAATATATGGCTGCATGTGATGGCTCACGCCTGTAATCCCAGCACTTAGGGAGGCCAAGGTGGGAGAATCACTTGAACCCAGAAATTCAAGACCAGCCTGGGCAACACAGTGAGACTCCTTCACCAAAAAATGAAAGAAAGACTAGAGCTGTTTCTCCCATGTGTACATATAAATTGTCTTGTGGCTCTCACAACTGTAGATGGCAGCTCCGCCTCTCAGAGTCAAGAGCCACTGAGTGTGTCTTTCCTCAATGTTCTTTCTCCTCCACCTCGCGATGCCTTGAATCCACCCTTACATCACACATACATACACACACATGCATCATGTACATGTACACACACATGCATCATGCAGATACACATATGCACACATACCTACAGACACATGCATCACAGATACACACATCATGCGCACACACATCATGCACACATACACACGTCATGCACACATACATATACACATGCACACATAAACCATGCACACATACACCATGCACACATCATGCACACACATCATGCACACACACACCATGCACACATCATGCACACACATCATGCACACACACACCATGCACACACATCATGCACACACACACCATGCACACATACACACATGCACACACATGCACACATACATACACATGCATCATGCATCATGCACACATACACACACAGACACATGCATCACACACACATGCACTCTTCCACATGATTGCCGCCTGCTTGGCTGTTCCCAGCCGTCCACAGCTACACCATGTGGTTCGAAGAACAATATCAAATCACAAAGCCAACTGCACGCATTAGCACATGCCCACCAGGCTGGACAGGAGAACTTTAAAAAGAGCTCTTCTCAAAGAAATGAGGCTATGGAGTTAAAAAAGGCAACAAAACAAAAAACAAGACCCTCTCCCTCCAACTCTAGAGTAGTTTATTTCAGCTCTTGGTGATGACAGTCAAGCACTGTGTTCTTACTGCCCTAATGTAGCAGTGAATGCATACAGTGAATCCTGTGAACACTAGCTAGTGTGCAAAGGTTAGGGGAAATCTTTGGGGCTGGTAAAATATGGAAGAAATGCATAAATTTGCTTCAAAAGTATTTTCATTACAGTTTGCTAAAGAGGCAGCTGAAACCTACCATTCCTGTCTAAATTTGTAGCACGCAGAACACACACACACACACACACACACACACACCACACACACCCCTCTATGTTTATGTCTATGTGTATGTACATATGTATGGACAGACTGATTGGTCTACGGTCATACCATCCTGAACCTGCCTGATCTCATGTGATAGACTGGTTGATTGTGCTGGGGGGTGGTTCTCCAGTTGGCCATTCTGAAGGAGTCTCAATCAGAGATACAGTAATAAACCAGATGAAGCAAGCCTAGGTGGGAGGAGTCGACTTGATCTGGGATTTTATTGTTAAGACAGAGCACATCACATTTCATTGGCCTAATTTTCCGTAGACCTTGATTTGAGGTTTGTTAATGTCATCATTACTGACAAACACAGCTTAGAAATACAGCAAGGCACTTTAGCAATTACCCGCCCTGGAAAAAAAACTATTCAGTGATAAGATTAAATTTGTGTGGACTGATTAACTAAA